AAAAAAAAAAAAAAAAAAAAAAAAAAAAAAAAAAAAAAAAAAAAAAAAAAAAAAAAAAAAAAAAAAAAAAAAAAACATAATTATTCCGAAATTCATGGAAAAAATCTTTATGGAAGCTTCAAAATGCGTCCGATTCGTCGTATAAATTCTAAAATTTCTCGGGGGATGCCCCTCGGACCACCCCCCCCTCATAGTGCTTGGGGCGCGGACCTTAAAACAGGTACCAGGGCCCGAGATGCGATGTGGCGAGCCTGCATGAAGGCTATTTACATTGAAATCTTCCGTCACATTCATACGGCGCAATGATACAACTATTTGAACTCTCCGGAATGCGTGAGGTATCACGCCGCAATTGAAGGCGTTTTCAAAACAGCCAAGTTCCGTTATCGGAATAATCGTTTTGCATAGTTCATATTATTTTGTTTCCAATTCTAACCACTTGTTTAATTAAAGTCCTCCTATAAAAACCACCCATTTGCTAAATACAATTCTAGCTGAAGCGCACTTAAGCGCATTCATGACTGCAAAAATGTTAACGGAAATCGACAAGCCCAGCGTGCACGAAGGCTATTTCAATTGCAATCTTCCGTCACATTCTTACGGCGCAATGATACAACTATTTGAACTCTCCGGAATGCGTGAGGTATCACGCCGCATTTGAAGGCGTTTTCAAATCAGCCAAGTTCCGATACCCGGATTATCGTTTTGCATAGTTCATGATTAATCTGAAAAGAGGCACATCTCCACTTCTTTGCCATTTTTTACATAGTGGTAGGTACCTCCAACAATTTTTTTCAAGCTCTCTCACGGATTTTAAGAGCAGTTAGATTGATTTTACTACATCTGGGCATTCGCTTTTATGTAAATTCTACACAGTTTTTTGTCTCTTCTGTAAAGTAGCAGTTTTTGACAAGTGCCCTTTTTCCGGGTGGTCCTTCGTTAATTGAGAGGAATTTCAAGCCTCGACTATGACTGATTTGCCTTCGCTAGACGGGGTGGGCAAAACAGGGTGCATTCAGAGACGGATCGAGAGTGAGTTGGAGGGGGAGGCAGAAGCTAATGTCGAGTGGGGGATCTGGGGGTCTCCCCCGGAAAATTTTCAAAAAAAATAGCTCCTCCCAGATTGAATTTTAAGCAGTTTCAGCACACAATATTTGAAAGTTGAAAATTAAAGATATATACCCCTTTTAGAGAAATTTTATTTTCGTATATGGCCTATTTATTTTTGCGGTCCTGAGAAACCTTTAACTTAGTAAACTTGGTGAAATAGTTCTGAAGCTTTCTTGACACCATTTCAGTAAATTTTTAGGAGTATTTTTCCCCCCTTTCATCCTTCCTTCCTTCTTTTCCCCCTTTTTTGGGCCCGAGGGGCGGGGAATGCCACCATGGCTCCCCTGGATCCGCCACTAATGGGGGGGGGGGGGGGTTATAGCATCAGATATAGCATTGGCTGAGGTCAAAAGAGGTTAGTCATATTTTCAAGTTTAAGTTGGTACGATTGTAATACGATTGTTGTAGGTGTACAGAAAAATATTGTAGGAATTGAAAAATAACAGAAACAGAAAAGCCATGTACTTGGGTCATTTTTGCGTAGAACGACTGATTTGAGAGGTAAATTTTGTATTTAAATGCCTGATACTTTGGCCTTTTTGCATAGAATCACTTTCAACCTATGAAGGATGATTGCTAAGAAAAGAGAAGAGAAAAAATTGAATTTTTTTAAAGGAAAAAACTGCATTTTTTAAAGGAAAAATATATAAAAAAATGAAAATTTGCCCACATAATCATAAAGATATGTTTAATCCAAAAAGATTTTCTCTGCCAAAACGGTCCGACGATTTTGCACCGAACTCCTCAATTTAAATAAAAGCATTCAATTGTAGTAGGAGAGCGAACTAACTTTAATACCCCATAGTGCCGTTCACGGAAATATTCTTAGTAGGCCCATGCATGGAAATCTGTAGACTTATGAAGGTATGGAAATCCATATGCTGTAATTTGGTTATGGATGTCCATGTAATGTGAGAATCTATGGACTTTAAGGATATTCGTGACCGAATTTCCATGGTTTTTGCAATTCATGAAACAATTTTAGCAGAGCGTGCGGGTGTGACCTCTTCTGAACTTATAACTACACAACCGATGCCAGTTGATGAGACTTAGACTTGATAAGCACTTCTTGTTACAGATTTACTTAAAATTTGACAAGCACTCTAAGCACCTCTTGATAATTTTAACCGAACCTTAGACTGTTAGTTCCGGCATGTCTCACCAGGCTTGAAAATGTCATCTGGGCTGTAAAACGCATGGTGCAAGCCCTAAAATCCCCAAAAATAGCACTAAATGTATTCCTTTAAAAATAAGTTAAAATTATCTAGAGGTGGAAGAGCCGGTTCGAAGAATAGGAGTTGAACACTAAAGAACGATTAGACAAGCATTCAATCTTGCTCATAGCTTTATTGAGTCAAGAGACAACAGAACAATGATAGGTACCTAGGTACAACAAAAGAGGCAATGGAGAGGAGGAAAGATGGGGTTGTATGGGGAGGGGGGTGAGAGAATATAAATACAGAACACCAGAAAATAGCACCATCTAAGCATTCACAACGCATCATGCTAATGTATAAACTGAGTATGACACAATATAAACTGAGTATCACACAATACAAAATGACTCATCTGAAGCTATCAATGAGTTTAATCATTAAGTTTAAATAAACATTCAAACATTTGAACTTACATGTTGAAAAGACACTTCAGTTAAAAGTGACATACTCTGACAAAGTCTTTTTCCTTTCTGTAGGTCTTTATGCTTCAAGCTTCAATTCACATCTCTCGGTTCTATATTAGCTGCAGCATTATGCCAACATACACATTGAGGCAATCAATTTGACTTCCCCTGCATTGTAAATGTTTTAAGAAACTCTTATTTGGTCTTGCAAACTAATATTATATCAGCAAATAGACATTCTTGATTATAAAAATCTGTAAACTAATACCTTTTTATGAGTTTAGTGCGTATTATGTATTGTCATTTCTCGAGTTTTCCACAAAAAAAATTTTGGAGCTTTTGCTACGAGGATTTTTTTTTTCAAAATTTCTATCAACACAAGATTTACTTGACTATTAAGTGTTTATATACCATGCAATTGGGCTTGCGGATGCTTTCTTTCCCTCCTAAAAGTTTCCCTCTCTAACAAGAAATGACTAAAGTTTTCCAAGTACAAAAGTTCTGAAATACTTATGATTAACTGGTGTTTGGCAAACTAAAGTTTTCCTTTCATTTTTTTCGAGTTATGAGGAGGTTTGACAGCAGAAAAACTAACAGAGAAAAAATTAGAGAAACACTGGAATATTGCTGAAGAAAAATGGGTGTAATATGCAGAGACTACATTGAGGATATCTCTAATAAAGCACACTTTGCTGAGCTTCAAGAAACACTGTGTGAGGAAAATAAAAAGCTTTAAGACCGGCTAACGAGGACTTACAGGCACTACACATCGCAAGGATATCAGAATGAAATCATAGCAATTTTCTCTGCTCGGATCCAGTCAAGCATCTATCAAAAAGAGAGCGAAGCGGATTTTTGCAAGGCAATTGTCTCAGGTAAATTGACCCATCACTACTCTATCTCAGAGAGAATCAATGCCCCATGAGGGCAAGTGCAACAATACCTTTCTCCTTTTTCCTCGAGAGAACTTAACAAAAAAGTCAAGATTGACAAGCAGCAGATGAGTTTTGGACATATTTAAGCAATCGTAGTATTGTGGTTGGGGTAACTCCTGGAATACGACTGGCAGCTGCTATAGTTTGAGGCTGTGCTACTGTTAGCTTCTCCACCTCTTCAAATGAGAGATTTAGTGATTTTTCTGAGTAATCTATATGACTAGGAATCTTGAGCTTCTCGTCTTTTTGGATCCCCTCTACTTCTTTTTCCTGTTTTATAATCATTTCCTTATAAAGGGCCTCAATTTTGACCCGTCGGATTGTATTTTCATCAAACTTTTTTAGTACACTTAAACTGTCAGGGGATGCAATGATTAAATCTTTAACTGAGATAGAAAGTATGAAACCTAAAACGTCAAAAGCTGATTTGATTTCCAAATTCTTTGTCGGACTCATTCCAAGGCTTTTCCTCCACCGAGACGTTGGGGCTTTTATTGACTCTAACACTTCAATGCATGTGTTGACACTATCTGTGGTAGAGACAAACTTATCAAACCTAGATTTAGAAACACAGCCGATGTCAAATCCTTTAGAAGTTAATCGTAGGTCAGCATTATCTGGCCGGAGAGATAACCGGAACTCAGAGCGGCTAGTAAACATGCGATATGGCTCATTTGTTCCTTGTGTGGTTAAATCATCAATAAGAACGCCTATATAACCCTCAGTTCTATTGATAGAGAGACTAGGTCTTTTTTGAGACTTGGCAGCTCCATTAACCCCGGCTAATATTCCCTGCGCCGCTGCCTCTTCATAGCCTGTTGTTCCGTTAATTTGACCAGCCAGAAACAAGTTAGAGATTCTCTTAGTCTCTAGAGTCGTGTATAGCTCTCTTGGATCAATGTAATCGTATTCTACACCATATCCAGGTTGTACAACTTCTGCTTTTTCCAAACCTTCGATGCATCTGACTAGTTGAATTTGTAAATCTGCTGGGAGGGTGCAGGAGAGACCATTGGGATAGACTAAATTGCTCGACAAACCTTCTGGTTCTAACCAAATTACATGCTGTTTGCCGCCAAATTTGATTGCTTTTGACTCTATTGAGGGACAGTAGCGAGGACCTGTCGCACCCTCGGTGACATGTCTGTTCACATGCAAATTATCAAGGATAATTTTTTCTACTTTCGAATTCGTGAAAGTTTGGTAGCACACCGCCTGGTCCTCGGGCTGGAATAATACAGAATGAAGATTAGTGGAACAATAGTATCAAAAAAATAGTGAAGGTTTAACTGAGGTCTATATGAAGTTCAAAATTTTCAGAGGTAAAACTCCAGATACATCCTTCCTTATCTATAGCAGATATATCTTTGGCAGATACATCCTTCCTCGGTTCTTAACTTCAACTTTCTTCTTGCTTGAGAAGATTCCCTCCACTTTAACTGAATCACTGAGGGTAACAAGAATTGAAAATGATCTACTTCATTAGGCCACCTACATAAGGTGTCTCAAACCTACCGCAACAGGCTTGATTCTCGGTTATTTTAGGGTTGGACAAATGCAAGGACTGCAAAATTGAAGAGGAAATTGACCCTGCAGCATCCAAATTTCATCATCCCAAAACCTGCTCAGTCCCTCCTATGAGCTGAAAGGGGATCCCTAAGTGATGGGTTAACTATGAAATTTAGGGTTCCTGCCACAATTTTGACATTATTTAAACAAGATCAGAAAGGATGAAAAATTTGAATCTACGTCTATGCAACTGATTGAAAGTCCAAAATCGATCCAACTCTATGTCAAATATTGACTCCTGAAGTTTCAAGATAGAGCTTCCCTTAAAAAATGCTGGGTCAATGAATTGATGTAGAGGTATGAAAAAGAGATGTTTTCATAGGTAATCGACCCTGAAGAATCCAAGTTTGTGGTATCGCCTTAGGTATGTGAAAATTTTCCCTGTTTTCTGATTTGGATAATATAATTATAAAACTGTGACAGGAACCCCAATTTTAAACCTCAGGATCCATCTTTCAATACCAAGAAGCACCAAAGAGGCTTCAACGTGATGAAATTCGGATTCTGTGAAGTCTCTTCCCAATAATCTCCTGCAGTGCTCGACTTTTCCCAACATGAAGTAACAACGTGAAAAGCATAGTATGGTGAGTTAGGGAAACCTTCTATGAAACAAAAAAAGATGAAAATTTCTGATTTGCAACAAAGTTTGTGAAAAAATTTTCAGTGGTGTGCAAAATGCTCAATTTCACCATCTCAGAGGCAAACTAAGGTGAATCTCGGGCCATCAGGCAAGTTTCAATGGTAATGACCTGATTCTCTTTTCCTTTTACTTTTCAAATCTCAAAAAAGCAGAGTAAATTGCACAATTTGCCTTCAAATGGTGCAATTTTTGCAAGGCAAATTGGCAATTAGGTTGTAAGTGTAAAACATACCTACAGGCTGGATTGCAAAAAATAGTTGGCGTTTTGCAATTTTTTGCATCCTTGAATCAGGATCGGAGGGAATGGTTTCTAAAAAACCTTCAAAAATTTAATACACTATTTGAAAAGAATATTAAAATAATAATACACACCTTTATCCAAACTTTATCATTGATGAATGAAAATGGAGCAGGAACTTCATCTCCGAACTGAGGGATTAGATTTGAATAATTTATGGTGCGTTTGTCCAGTCTGGGAGGAGTTCCTACGTAAAAAAAAAACACAAACATTTATAAATTTGACAACAAAATTTAAAAAACTTAAAAGTTTAGAAAAATGCATAAAATCGTAAAAATTTACTACTTCACCTGTATATTTATTAACTTATTTATGTTTTCATTTATTCTTCTGAAAATTTGGGAATACTTCATTCGCCTCCTTGTATACTCTGAAATTAACATATTTTCACCTAAAAAAGAATTAAGAAGTATCTATTATCGAATTTCAGAGGGATTGTCATCATTTTCGACCTTTCATTGGTCTAATTTTTCGGACAAGAATTTTCATCCATGTAAAATTTAAAATCTCAGGTGAACGCAATCGGCTACAAGAAACACAGTAAGTAAAGCCCGCTTATAACAAACTTGGATCTAACAAAATCCCATATAATTAAACAATATACTTAGGTTTGCCTTAAGCTCTCATGAGAGTCCAGTGCTGAATGGGCTCGATTAAAACGGAATTTTGTGGAGGAAAGTCTGAGATTTTTATTTAGGGCATTTTCAAGCTTACAATAATCCCATGGCAGATATGAACCATGGCTAGTTGACGAAAAGGAGGCCAGCACTAAATTATGACATGGTCATGACACTAAGTGAGGGGATAAATTGAAGAAACTTAAGGAGACTCCTCAGTTTAGTGAGAGACGGAAGTACGCTCTCACGATGAGGAGTTGAAAAAAATGGTGGCATGCTGGAGGCCCTGAGAGGCTTATTCCACTGATGTTAGTTGATGCTACTGCAAGACATCATAGGTGTCAAAATTCTACTATCCTCAGCCATTACGGTTGTATCAAGTAACAATGCCTTCAATCAAAACTTAACAAAAGAGATAACCCCTGATAAGATCAATCAATCAAAGTAATTAGCATGTTTTTATCACCATGAAATTGATGAAAAGATAAAATTACTGATAGATAATTAATTAAATAAATAAAAAAAAGTATACAAGTTTTGAGTGCAAATAATACTGTAAAACCACAAGGGCCTTCACAAGACTGACCTGTTCTGAGTCTACCCATCCTGAACTCAAGTGATTCGAGCGTTTTAGCTAGAGTTACAGACGGTTCATCACCTATCCTTCCAGCCGGTCGAATTTCTAGCCCCATATTGATATGCCCACGAAGGAATGTACCAGTAGTAATAACAACTGACCTGGAGAGTATTTTAGTCCCATCATCTGGGAAGAAAAATAAAAAGTTAACAAGGAATTCAATTGATTGAAAATTCATTGAGTTCAATTCGAATACATTGATATTTAATCCACCTCCAAACAAGTTCATCCGAGAAGGTTAAGTTTAAGACTCATAGATACTAATTGATGAAAAACTTAATCGAGGCATTATCTTGAACCTTTCAAGTTTGGAAATATTAGGTACGAAGGCACTATATGAGCTAAGCTCTGTAGGGATTTTTCAATCTTTTTTTTTTTTCTTTCAAATAAAAAGTTATGATCCAATTTTTCATTGAGACTTTTGTAATGTAGGTAACAGATTATACTATTTTGTTGAAAACCCTCTAAAATATCTCTTTCTTTTTCTACTTCCACCCTTTCATTACCAGGCTAAATTCGGTTTGCACATGCCTCACAAAGGGAATTCGTTGTCATGCAATTAAATCAAAGCACACTCTATCAAGAAAAGTCTAAAGTTGTAATTAAAATTTTCCTAACCGGAGAGAGCTACAAATGTGAGTACTTCTCAATTGTAGTTGTTGAAGGATGGCAGAAATATTGCAGGAAGGATACGGTTTTGCTGAACGCAGATGCTACGTTCATTATAATGAGAGCGTTATTAGAAATATTCAGTTCAACTTCTTTTCCTCAAAAACTTCTGGCATTATAGCCAGAAAACAATCATGCTTGTTACAATAGGAAAGTTCTGTTGAAATGAATGCCTGATTTACATTACTCTGTTCTTAAAGTTGGACCGATTTGACCAGAATCAGCCAAACTACATCAGATGTTGCCTAATTTTCCCTTTTTTGCTTCTTTAAACAGAAAACTAAGCAAACTCAAAACTTGAAATTTCCATAATCTAGGGTCAATTTATAGAATTTTTAAGGGTGGTGAGTAAAGAATTTTTTTTTTTAAGAAATAAAATAGGAGAAAAAATTAGGCAACATGAAATGTAATTAGGGTGAGCCCTGTTAGATCCTTTTCATTTATCCTAAGATAGAGGCTATCTCCATATTGCTCCAACTAATCCTAAGTCCTAAACCCTGTGCTGACAGTTCAGTGGCTACAACTTTTCTGTTTAACTGAAACGGGAGCTAAAAATTTGCCTAAGAGTAAGACAACTTGCCTTTATGAATTGTCAAGAGGTTGAAATTTAAGATCACATTTGCTCACAAATTTATGTCCCACAATTTCTAATAACAGGACAACATTACTGGATATCTACTAAAAACGATGCCTTGTAAGAGAACAGAAAAATCCAGATCAATGAGATTTCCTAATTTAAGGAATTCTTGAGAATTGATAAAAATTTTAACTTGATATTGGAAACTTACTCATGACGACACCACACACTTGACGAATATAATTTCGAGTTAAGTCTTCAGGGTCTGACAGAATGAGATTATCTACCGATCCTTCTAGAATGTCCAAATTTGGTGTCCGATTAAAGAGTTCGTCCTGAAGATGCTTTTTATAGAGTTCTCGATCAATCTGTGCTCTTGGCCCCCATACAGCAGGTCCTTTTCTTTTATTTAGAATCTGAAAAAGGCCAAGATTGATGGATTCACAAAAGCAAAAGGCTTAATAGGGTTACGCAAGAACAGACAAAAATCTGCAGAAGGCCACACATGAAAAAGGGGAAGTTCTTGCTTTAAGTAGACCACAGAAAATTTGACAGGCGCTCCTGTCAAAGTAAATGGGTAAATAGTCTAGGCAATCTAGTATGAAATTGGGCCTTAGATGGAAAAAAATCGGAAGCGAATTCCAATTAAAGGGCGTTAATGTTCCTCAGTAGGAGTGTAGTTTCTGAGAATTCCTCAACTTTCCGACGTGCAGAAAGCCCTGGAAAATCGGAAAACTCCCGAAAGATTCGATAATTTTCAAATGCAGATAACTTTGCATTAAATTATCGTAATGAGATAGTCTTTTCTTTTTTTTTTAAACTGTCAGAAATTGAGTCAGGTACATATTAACGACAACTACATTTAAAGAAAAAAATACCATAGTTGTCAAATTTACGAAAAATGGAAAATTTGAAAGTTTAATGAAGGTCTTCTAGAAAGATTAGCCGAAAGGGTCGTCCACGGCACCCGGACCGTAGGCAATCGTGACCGGTCACGAGTAGCGCGAGGGAGCTAATTAAAGAGAGAGACGAACATTTACTTTATTGAAATTTGGAAGAATTCATCCGCGGCACCCGGACCGCAGGCAATCGTGTCCGGACACGAGTAACGCGAATGAATTTAGAGACCGAAAGGAATTATTTATTGGCAGAAGGCCGAAATTGGACATGAAATTATTATTATTGGAAAAGATAGAGTAAAGAAGGTGNTTGAAGCTGATTTCAGAACCCAAATCGGTGGAAAACGGAAAAATGCCTTTAACAAAAGCTGTAGAAAATTGTTTAAGCTTTAAAACAGTATATTAACAAATTTTGTAATATGATTCATTGCCAAACTATGCAGTACGCAAACTACTCAGTGAAGGGAGGTATGTGCAATAAAAAGTGACTACTTAAGAAGCATGCAAATCCTACACTGCCATGCTAAGGTAAAACGCTGGATGAACTTTCGGACGTTACCAAATTTCTTTTGATAGGATATGAATTTTCTGGCAAACTTATGAATTTAATTTGTTGACTATTCTAAGATTTTCACCTCCAATTAAAATCAGAGTTTATGAAAATTTCAAGAAAAAATATTCATATCTTTCCTCAAGAATTATTATTTTATCAGAAGAAATGTGGCAACAAGCGAATGCTCATACAGCATTTTTTCTTACAACGGCAGTAGCACATAATTCCTTTTAATTTGGACTACATTTTGTCATAGAGATGTAGTTCATTTCTGACTCATAAAAACAATAACATACAAACCATTGTTTTTTGGTAGAGCCTGAGAGCAAAAGGAGTTTGGTCCCTGGTAGCAAAATTTAGTCCATTTCATTCTCTTGAACACAGTTTCTTTCAGCATTAATGAGGATTGCAAATTTTCAATTGCACTTTAAGGAAAAGATGACCAACCAATAAGATGTAACTTACATAGAACACAACAAACTGATGCGGCAAACTGTTTGGAGGTTGAAGATTTCATTTGAATCATAAAATGTAACTACTACATCATGCTATTTAGAGGTGTATCGGAACAATGAATACCAACTAAAAAATGCAAGTGTGCTTTCTCTCCTTAACGATTCGAAACTTACTCTGTACTGTATTCCAGAGAGGTCACAAATTCGACCACACACACCATCTAAAGCGTCAACTTCCCTCATGAGGTGCCCTTTGCCAATACCACCAAAAGCAGGATTACATGACATTTCACCTGAGAAACAAAATGAGAAGTTTTCGGATGTGGCTTATGTTACTTAAATAATAATTGTAAATTTCAAAATTAACATGACGCCTAGCAAAACATTCCATATTATGTAGAAACTAGCTTTGTGGAACAATTTTGAATTTAGTCAACATTTAGGAGTCATGCCTCTTTAAATACGAACTCAAATGAAATGGTATACAATAGAATGAAATTGAGGAAGTTTAAGATTCAGTCGCAAAAATTACTAACAATTTACCTCATATAGAAAGAAAAAAACTTTTTTACGATTCATGAAAAAACTTTCACAGTTTTTTTGGGATACAAAGCAAAGACGTAAGAATAGGATTGAGTACCTAAATATCGGTAGATTCGTTCATTTGATCGGGAAAACTTCTTCATTAGAAAGACTGAAAGAGTAGGAACAATTATTCAGCATACATTAGACATTCACTGATGATGCGTTATTGGCAGCTGTATTCAATCATAACCTTGGTTGTTCCCCCTAATGTACCAATTTTTCAGAGGATTGACTTTTTTCAACAAAAGTTCACTTATGGGAAGTAAAATTTACTTCCCTAAAAATTGTTGTCATTGTCGAATTTGACACAAAAACACACCCATAACATGTGATGACTTAATTAGGCTGATTCCTGGAGGGTATATACATATCCAATTTGTACTAAGTATACCGAAGGATAAAAAATAAATTTGCTACATAGCAATATTTCCTCTGAAATGGCAGACTAATGACTAGATTCCTCCATGACGGTATCAAGTCAGGAGGCTTGACAAGGATAAACATTAAATGTATAGCCTACACTGGAGAGAAAAGTTATAAATGCATGACTGATGTTTGGCTTTGAAAAAACTCACCAATTTTTTCCTTCTTATGAGTGATGAGTAGTACTTGCGATCCCATACGGGACGCAGCTGTGCATGCCTCAGTGCCTGCATGTCCACCTCCGATTACAATGACATCGTACGACTTTTCCGGCTGAAATGTAAGTTTCCTTATTGATTGGCGGAAGGCAGACCATGATTTCGTGAATATGCCAGATTTTGAGAGACCTTTCATTGCTGACATCAATTAGGTATCACATGAGTCAGCAGATCTCTAATAGTGAACTTGTGTGATTATTCTGAACTGATAGATCCCTGAGAACAAAAACAGAACAAAATATTAGTAGTCAATAGTGCCTCCAAATGTGGGTCAGCGTTCCAAAGTAGGACCAACGTCCTTCGCAATACTATCAATGAATAATAATTTACCTGTAAAGATACATAAAATTCAAGGATTTTCTGTTAGAAGCGATGATTTTTTGAAGTGCTGGCTTATTGCCTAACATAATGTATTCCACATTCACGGAGTGCCATCCAAGACACTTGCATACAAATTATGGACTCTGGCACCAAAATAATCTGAATAAGATAATTTTCCAAATTAAGATGCTCATTCAAGTACATCAAGGAACCCTCTCTGAGGATTAAGACGTCTGTCTTGCAGATTTTGATATCACCTTGGCTGACGTACCCACCAAAAAGAAGAAAAAAACCCAGTTAGTGTGAATATGCATTGTTGGTTCATTCTCGTGTAAAACATATGTGAAAGAAAACACAACTTCTTTCAAGGCTAGGTATTCTTTCGGTAAAACATGTTAAAGATTGAATGAAATTTTAGGAAACTCACTTGCACTTAAAGTACTTCCCAGGATACATCTCGGATATCCCTGGCTCCATCATTAGCCGTTTTCAAAACAAAAAACTCATGACAGCAAAATCAAGCAGACTTCGTAATTACTTCTTGAAACGTGAACCAGGACATGACAAACTTACCTAGATTATCTTTCTGGAGCAGTGCTACGTTTTATTTGATAGGCGAACTTTCAGAGCACACTGAAGATGAGTAGGGCATTACCAGTTACACAAAAGTAGTCACAATAAACATAATCAAATAAAAAGTCTGCACCCAAACAATTTACTCCCCTTCAGTGTGGGTCAGAGGATTAGCTGTCTTCAGGTTGGCATTGAAAGTAAAAGCAGAAATCACGATGCCAGATTTTCTGTCATACTCTCAAACTGCAGAAACTTGCAGAGCGTGGACTCTTATGCACCTGTAAAATTTGAAGCCATGTTATTGAACGAAGAGTCCCGACAAAGAGTCTCTTTCTCCGCGTACATTAGGAACTGAGAAGCTGCTTCCAATGTTCACAAAAGATAGTATTCAACTAAAAGATACTGACAAGAGGCAGATTACAGCCCAGGATATATAAGGTGATATTATTGATTTGACCTAAACTGGTGGAGAAAAATTGACAGCAAATGAAGGAATAGAGTGTAGCTGAGGGACGGGAGAACAGGAATTCTGAGGCTAAAATACGGAACGCTTGACCACTTACCTAAGTATTTCAAGATGTTGGTTACAAGTTGATGGAAAGAGCTGCTATTTCATGGCAAGATAGAGAGAAAAGGTACGTTTGGAAACATTTTTCAGAGAAAAATTAAAGCGCACATATTTGAACAGCTATTCACCAACATAAATGACCGCAATTTGTAATTGAGGTTATGTACTTACAACATTCAACATTATTATGCAATCTCAACCTCAACCAACGGGCTCAGCCAGCTCAGCACTGTCAGCTGTTCGCGGGATCGCGAGTTGATTATTATGAACTATTATAAACGGTTCTGAAAGTAGATAACAATTATATCACAGCCAGGGCCGAATTTTTATAGGAGGATTTAGAAATGAAAACAAAAGAATATGAACTATGCAAAAGGATAATTTGGGTATCGGAACTTGGCTGTTTTGAAAACGCCTTCAAATGCGGCGTGATACACTGATCTGATACCTCATCCCGGAGAGTTCAAATAGTTGTATCATTGCGCCGTAAGAATGTGACTGAAGATTTAAATGGAGATAGCCTCCATGCACGCTGGGCGTGACGATTTCCTTTGACAATTTTGCAGTGGTGAATGCATAGCTGAAGTGCGCTCCACCTAGAATTGTATTTACAAATGGGTGGTTTTTCCATGAGGATTAAAAATAAACAAGTGGCACGGAATATGAGAAAATAATATGAACTATGCAAAACGATAATCCGGGTATCGGAACTTGGCTGATTTGAAAACGCCTTCAAATGCGGCGTGATACTTCACGCATTCCGGAGAGTTCAAATAGTTGTATCATTGCGCCGTATGAATGTGACGGAAGATTTCAATGGAAATAGCCATCATGCAGGCTCGCCACATTCCATATCGGGCCCTGAGGTACCAGTTTTAAGGTCCGGGTCCCAAGCACGGAGGGGGGGGGGTGCGAGGGGCATCCCCCGAGAAATTTTAGAATTTATACGACTAATCGGACGCATTTTGAAGCTTCCATAAAGAATTTTTCTATAAGTTTCTGCGGAATAATTATGTTTTTTTTATATACTTTCAGCATAAAATACTTGTGAATTGTTGCATTAAAAACATCTGGAAAATTTTTATTTTTTGGGGGGGGGGGCATATGATACTATTTTCAGTTCTATTAGGGCCAGGCCCCCCTGGACTCCCCCTTCGTTTGTCTATGGCAAGGAAGTTGAGCCATGAGCCATTGAAGTCGAAGATTCCCAGACTGGAGACTCTTAGCATCTGACGACGGAAAAAATTGAAACGCAGTTACTAAAAATATCCCTCTGTACTGAAAATCTTGAAAATAGATAGAAATTTTCCAAGAAGTAAACTTCTTTGAAAGTTTAAGAAGAATTCTACAGTGCCCCAGCGTGTTTCTGAAAATCTATTCACCTTTTGCGAAATTTTTAGGGTAAATTTTTCACTTTTTCTTATTACGAAATGTTTATTATACGAAATGTTATGAAAATTATTTTCTTATTACGGTTGCATGTGAATTCGTAGTGGTTTTTCACGGGTAACACGGGCTCCCTCCGGGGCCCGGGGCCCGGTACTAGGGACCCAGTATCCCCCCCCCCCCCTTGTGGCGGGCCTGCTGGTGGGACAAAAGTAGGCATTTCATATGCATGCATATAGGCACATTATGTATATAATGTCCTCAGCTGAATTTTCCCCAAGTTTGTCCCGACACTCCTGATAGATTTCCATGTCAAGTCAGTCAGTACAGATAATCACACACAGCCTCAAAGTCAAAGCTAATTAATTGTAGGTACACTCCGAGTGAGCACGCTGTGCCTTCGAGCATGGCAACAATTTGAATTTAGCGGGCGAACAACCGGATATGGCTCAACCTCTTTTACGCGCTCCCTTATCATTATCAGTTTATTTACTTCACAAGATTGTTATCAATCAGATCAGGGTTTATAGGTTAAGTCACAAGTGCAAACTGCAAAGTGCCGTATCTCGTATCACAATTCACAATCAACCTCAATTTTACCGGATATTTCCAGTTCATTGTCCCTAGAATCTCTATTCCTGTTTCCCTCATCTTCAACGTGCAGTCTAAAGTTTGATTTGGTTTTAAATTTATTCACAGTAAGCAGGCACATAAGTAGGTATGGCTATGAAATGTTTTACTGCATCCTCCGTGCCCCTCCTGTCTAAGTATATCTCAAGAACTCCTTATGCCATCATGTCAGGATCGCGTTCCGTAAGCTATCAGTGCAAGAAATTGTCCTTCAATGAATTTGGAGACCCTTTAAAAGTTGTGTATCCAGATGAAGAGGCGGTATCTGAACCAAGCGCATCGGAGGTGAGTGCTGTACATTTTACATCAAGTCATTTCTCTGTCTTTCAATGAAGGCACAAAAAAGATAGGATGCCGGACAAATAATATCATATGTACAAATTATTCATCAAGCACCAAATTTAGAACTTCCTAAAGCACTTCATTCAATTTAGATAAAGTTCTATAATTTTCGTATTCGAAAAACTGAATAATTTTCTTAGGTCATTGAAAGCAAGGAATTAAATGGTGTTTCCTCATAATTTTTTGGCTTTGGTGTGGTCATGTCATTTTATTTTCTCCATATCACGAGGCCTTTCATCAATGGAGTACATGGAGTCTTAATGTAAACGGGAGAGCTGGCGCCACTTTTAAGCATTTTCCAGATCACAAATTCTGTGACTTCTGAGTCACGCCAGGTTATCATTTCTATACATAATCAATCGTTTTTGCTACACAGGGGTCTGGCTATCTTATGTAAACAAAGAGGATATGAATTATTAGGTATTCTTCACCGCCATTTTGGAACAAAAATGTATTGCTAAGGTCGCATTAAATCTACGCAAACCGGGCTTGGAACGTGTCAACCAGAGCATGGCCCCAACTCACTTCACCAAGTATATTACAACTTTATGTACTCTGTGCTTTCATTTAGCTCCACCACAGATTGCAGTAGGATGCAACTATAAATGTTTCTGTGAAGGATTTTTAAGTCAGAAAAAGTCGATCAATTTCTTTCAACAATCCTATTACTTTGGTTTCTGATTTTTAGTGGTCATTTTATTCAAAGTTTTAACACCTTGTCATTGTTTGTAGGAGTCTAAAATGTAAGTAATTTTATTTCAATTTCTGCCTGTCCCAGGTTCTTGTTAAAATCTTGGTCGCCCCTGTTAATCCTGCAGACATAAACATAATTCAAGGAACATACCCTGTCAAACCTTCTCTCCCTGCTTCTCCTGGTTTTGAAGGGGTAGGAGAGGTAGTTGCAGTTGGAACTGGAGTGACAGAGTTTGCTGTTGGGGACCGAGTGGTTCCAAACTGCGATACATGTGGAACATGGAAATCCTACACTAAGTTCTCGTCTGATGGATTGCTCAAGGTAATTTAAAATTCCATTATGTTTGTAGATCAACATCAGGCTTGCTCACCAGATTAGGTCAGTATGTTTTCAGGTCCTATCTGAGAATAAGTTTAATTAATTAATGGAATTAAAGCACCACTTATGCAGGATAAATTCTCTTCAAAATTACTTGAGAAAAAGTAATCACACCACAGGAAGTCTTGAAATCAACTAGTAAACAAATTGTCAGTGTGTACTATTAACATTGGTTAAATGACATATAAGGGGCTTGGAGGACAAGGCGCCTAAGTGCAGTTATTGCTATTTCAAGATATATGTGTTTTAAGTTGCAAAATTACATGGAGCCTTGTGGCGAAAAAGAAGCTTAGACTCATTTTTTGATGCTTCCAAGTTGGATTTTCGATGTGAATTTTTCACAGAATACACTTTCAAACTAGTTTCAGTTGAGTTCATGAATATCTCAGTTTGTTAAAGAACTGCACTCATGCACTATTTTCCTCCAAGCCCCTCATATGTAGGTTTAATCTAAATCCAATTTGATTTATTTGCGTTAAAATATAATAGTTAATACCTTGTTCAAAAGTTATTATTTGAACTTTGCATCATATGAATAGCTTTCTATGTAAGGTTTTTAGCAGAAAACGTGTTGAGCTTTTTTCTAGTTCATACCTTGTTGAAAGACCCATTTTTGTCTACCTTCGAAGGTCGACAAAAAGTATTGGATCATAATCTGATTGGTCTCGAATAAAGGCTATAGATGTGTTCTAAATTTGTAGACACTTAAAATATTTTCCTTCTTTTTTGTCCTTTTTCTTTTTTCCCCACATTTTAGCTATGAGCTACAGGCTTAGTGCTTTTTTCCATTTACTGTATATTTGTCAAATCAAATATACTTAGAGGAATTTGAATGTGGTGACTTCCTGGTAATAATTGACTTAGGTATCTCTAGAGACTGTAAAGTTTTTTTTGTCCTTATGTTTTGCAGGTGCCGAATGATATGCCTATTCTAGAAGCAGCAGGTTTAACTTCGAACCCTTGCACAGCTTATCGTATGCTGAGTGACTTTACCGAACTCAAGCCTGGAGATGCAGTAATTCAAAATGGGGCCAACAGCGCTTGTGGCCAGAATGTCATTCAGTTATGTAAAGCATGGGGTATCACATCTGTGAACATTGTGAGGGACCGCCCAAACTTGAATGAATTGAAAGAGCATCTATCCAGTCTTGGTGCCGATCATATCCTCATTGAATCGGAGCTCAGGTACTTCAGCTTAAGTAGAACTTGATAACAGTATTCAAAACCAGTTTTTCTCTGTTGTCTTAAACTCTTAATTGTAAGACAGTTTGTGTAATGGGCCTGTTGCATGCAAGAGATACAGCCGTGCGAATAGACTTTTTAGAGGTTAAATGACACGAAAATTACGATGGTCACATTAAAAAAGTCCGAAATACACTCCTTACTGCGCAATTTGCGTTGTTAGGAACGCGCTTTTTCAAATTTCCCGCGTCTGGGGGCAGTTTTCTAATCACCGGAAACGAGCAAACGGCGGGCTCGGTGATTTCCGGAAGATGCCGAGTCGTTGTTGTTGTTGTTGTTATTTTTTCCTTCAGTTTGTTTACAAACCCAACGTGATCTCCTACAGTGGTCCATATACGCTTTATGCGGTAACCAAATCGATCAAATTTTAAATATCCAACGCAATCCTTCTACATTTCATTTCACGATATCGCGAGCTCCGATTTTTAGGTTATGTTGTCAGTTTTAGTTGACCGGAAATAGCCGCGAGTTGCCGTTAATTGTTTCCGTTAGAAAACTGCCCCCAGACGCGGGAAATTTGAAAAAGCGCGTTCCTGACAACGCAAATTGCGCAGTAAGGAGTGTATTTCAGACTTTTTTAATGTGAGCATCGTAATTTTCGTGTCATTTAACCACTAAAAAGTCTATTCGCACGGCTGTATCTCTTGCATGCAACAGGCCCATTCACCAGGAGGGAATTAAAAAAGGCATCAGCAAGAAATTTTTTCAAACACTAGCGGTATACAATCAATGAATGACTTCTTGAAAGTCTCTATATGATAGAAGCCCTTTAAATGAGTGGTGTATCTTGAGTTCACAGCATAGTTCACGCAAAAAATATCTTTGTCCTTGAATTGTGGTTTTCTTCATCTGCACAACCTGCATCCAGGCTGGGTAATTTTACAGAGTCTGGAAAGAGAGAGATGTTAGTTAACATCCCCAAAGGCAGAAAGGGTCAGGATATAACCAATTTCTCTAATAGGTGACCCTTGACAATATTCTCTGAGATGAATGAGCTCTTGGAGAGGGTCATCGTACAAGGTCAAAAATGAGGGTAACTCTCTGGGCTGCAATGGTTTCTCTGCCCCCTCCAGGAATGTTTATCCCTGTGCACTAACTCGAAAATAAGTAAAATGATCAATATCTAATTTGACAAACACCCTTTGTTTTTTGCCTGAACTCAGGATTGATTCCCCTGTTATATGTTTTTGTTTCAGGTCAACGCAATTATTCAAAAGCAAGGAAGTTCCATTTCCAAAATTAGCACTAAATTGTGTTGGTGGCAACAATGCAACAGAGGTGATGCGACATCTTGCTCCAAAAGGCGTCATGGTGACTTATGGTGGTATGTCTCGTAATCCAGTCACCATTCCAACATCTAGTTTCATATTCAAAGATCTTGCTTTTCGTGGGTTTTGGATGACAAGGTGGCACAAAGAAAACAGAAACAGCCCTGCTCGCCAGAAAATGATAGCAGATCTTGTAGAGTTGATGAAATCCAAGAAGATCAGAGCTCCAGCTCACAAAGTAGTGCCTCTTGAAAATTACACTGAAGCCCTCATGAACACAATGTCTGTGCAAGGTTTTGCTGGCCATAAGTATTTTATTGACTTTCGCAGTCTACATTCATAAGTTTTTTATTTACTTTTTTTTGAGAATGAATTCTCTAATTTATTTAATTAAGTATGTCATAGGAAGCCTTCAAATGCTGTGATGAGTCATTATGTTTCAACATGCAAGTGTTCATGGAATGGTTAAGTTTTGATGGAACACTTTAGTTGTCTCTCATCGTTTAATCATGGAAAGATCCGTTGTTAATCATCAAATCTTATTTTTTTTAAAATGTGCTCAGCCCTAATTTTTCCTCAGTGATTGGTCAGTCTGGACTCTCCTTTTTTCTTTTACTTTTTTGGAAGGAAAGTTTGCCTGTGTGATACTTTCATGCCACAAATGAGGTTATTTTTAGTCCACTGCTCCCACAATTGTTTACTATGTTTCCATTTTTCAATGAATTAGTATTAGAAATATGAGGAGAAAATATGCCGAGAGTTCGCATAAATGAATGGTTAAGCGTCCTCCATTAAGATACTTTACATCATGAGAAGAATAAACATGCTCCCGAATTTTGATTGTATAGTACAATGCCAATGAGTGAAATCATTAATACATTCCACCCCTTCCGGGAGCCTAGATTTCCATTTTCTCAAGTCTTGGTAGTTGCTAAAAACCTACTGTTAACATAAAAGAAAGAATTTAAAAGAGGGGGTACAAACCTGCAAATTGTAGAACTTTTGAACTTTTAAGTTTTTTTGTGTTTGTAATTGGTCAACAGATTGGTAGAACTGATCAATCAGTCAGAGCTTTTTATTAAAAGTTTGAAGTATTTTTTCACAAGGATGCGCTTTCAGAGTTCAGATCTTGCAAATTCCTCCTTGGGATTACAACACCTTAGTAGCAGAACCTATTTAACAAAAGAGTACCTGAAAACCAGCAAATTTTAAACGTTTCTAATTTTGTTTCTTAAAAGGGGCCCAAATTCTTCCTATTCTTTAACTCGCCATTTTTTTAAAACCGTCTTGGTGTTTTTCATTAGTGTGAATAACTCTGCAAATGCTCAGTGAACCTTTTTATAAACTTTTTTTTGCTGAGGGTTTGATTTTTAATATTCCACTTCAGTGCTTGCAATATTATCAAAAGTTGCCTCTATTTTTTACAAAAATAAAATGTCTAAATTTTAATTAGATATTCTGTTGGCAAAACCTTAGGGATCTGCTTCGTTCTGTAAGAAAATTTCTTCTGTCATTACTAATTTACAGGCAATAATACATATCTGAGTATCAAATTACATATAAACGTACCTAAGGAAAAATTCATACACAATGAGCATCTTTGATTGTAATGCTTGTTGAGTCGACTTCAATGAAAGACTGGTTGTACTTGCTTAACTGTCCTTTGATGAATGTATTTTTTATTTTCCCTCGATTTTAAATTTATTTTTAAAAATTGAGAAATTAAATAATAAAGAAACAATTAATGATGCAATAATGATTGAATTTGTTTCATTTCTTGTCTTAATCAAATGTTTACAACAGTGAAATCTGGGATGAAATAATTACATCTGCTAACCTCATCCTATGCTGAAACGAGTTTCTTTTGAAAATCCATCTGTTTCTGAAGGAAAGAAGTATTGGTCATCAAAATTTTTGAAAAATATTCCATCGGGGCATGTATGAAACCAGGTGAAGTTTCAATCTTTCTGCCAACCACAATAAGAACGCCGCAACTGCATGCTTCATTTGTATTCTCTTATTTAAGCAACAGTAAGTTCCCTTACATGGAAACCTGATCACACAGGTTTCAGATTTTCTTATTACAATTTTTTAGTGGTATGACACGATCTTTTATTCAAAAACACCACTTTTATTATACGTACTGAAACTTATGGGAAGGTGTTGAAAAAAAACTGAATCTAATACCTAAACACAAGGAACAAAAAAAACTTAATTAAAAACTTTGACTTTATTAGGTAGGTACTAGTATCTACATTCAAAAAATTACATTAGGCTTTGTTCCAAATGATTTGATAAAAATACAAATAAAATAGGAAGATACTAAAGCTAATATCACATCATTTTTTATTTAAAATATATTACAGCTTAAAAATATTCATTTGATGATGAAAACTTAATTGATACTGATCATGTACTTAGGTACCCGTAGCTCTGCAATTAAAACCTTAATGATATCAAGGATCATGATAAAACCCTGAAGAATCCTAATTTAAAGCTATCTCAGTGCTGCGAAAGAATTATTCTGTGGAGAATCTTGCTGTTGTGTGCTTTCTTTGGAAACCAGGCGGCAAAATTGTCAGATAATATTTGCAATGTGATGTAACAATATTTATAGTGGCAAAACTGTGAAACTGAAATTGTTCCTCAAATTGAAATCAATTTCTATGTAGCCCTATCACAGCTAGTGCCCAATAGTTTATGCTTATGCCTACAAACATAATTTTTTTATTACAACCAGCTATTATTTCAGCAGGGATTATCAGTTGCACCAGGGAAAAGCTCTTAAAAATCAAAGGGATATGAAGCCCAGCACGCCAGATTTTAAGTATTAAGTATGTTCTGAATACTTTTTTACGATTCTTTCTCACATCCTTGGAGCAAGTTCTTTTCCTTTACAAAATATTCAATTGTTCCTCTGTTGGCAGAGTTGGCTAATTTAAAACAATTTCAACAACCGATCTCATGCTGGTTCAATTATTTTTCCAAGCTTACCAGACAAATAAGTGAGCTAAAATTACTACCAAGTTTTATGTCTGAAAAATTCTAAATAAGCATTTTAAAATTTGTTCAATAAAATGAAAATGGCTTTAGCCACTGATAAAGGCACTTGAGACATTAGTCCCCGACTCAAGATTATACAAGAAACTTCGAATGCTACTGCGTAGGTACTAAATACACAGCCCAGTACAGCCTTAACAGTAAAAAGTAAAATCAACTTCAAATTGATTTTTTTAAAACAAGACTATTTACACCCATATCATACACAACTTACAAATTCAGTACTATGAGGTAGGTACCAAAACCATGAGTTTAGGCGGTAACGTCAGTTCCAGTGCCTATCGGGCTTTCCCGAGGGACCAAGACAGGGCGTCCAAGGACCAAACTTCATGAGCGTGGGGTAATTCTCTCTGCATGGAGCTTAAAAGTGCCCTCCAGTCATATCAACGGCTACCAACTTTTCTTTAATATCTTTCGTTTATTCTAAATTTTGGCAACGGCAACGGACCTTAACTCATGAAAAGTAACAATTTCTCAAAATTTTTGACGCTGAATTCATCAACAGGTAGTCTGAAATTATCGGAATCTCGAGTAAAAGAGAGGAAAAAACCAGAGAGTCTAATTGACGAAAACCATGGTTGGTACTCAGGAATATCAAACGGTCCCTGAAATCCACCTTTAACTTATGATTTCGACCGTTCTGAGACTATCGATGAATTTCGTACCCAAAATTACCTAGGGCAATAACAATTTTTCATGAGTGTGAGTCCAAAATCGTCGCCAAAATTCAAAAAAGAAATTAAGATTTTCACAAATATTGTGGAGAGAGGGCGTAGCTCCGATGGAGAGCATTTTTCGAAAGAAAAAAAAGGAAATAGCAAAATTATGGGGGGGGGGGGGGGGGGTAATTTTGATCCAGAGAGCGCGCTATTGTGGCCTCGCTGCTTGACCCCGGAACACCCTGTATACTGAGCGAAATTCGATTGATACCCCTGCAGAGTCGCAACGAACTTTGAACTCAAAGACGACCACCGAAACTGATTTCAGCCAGACCTTTTAGAGGTAATCGAGATCTCTTCATAGACAGCCCCCTTGATCAGAGGCGGATCCAGCAATTTGGCAACACCGAATTTCCTCCATTTAAACCTATGCTAAAAAATCGATTCTTGTCGGAGCACCTGGCCCCTCCGAGAATCGATACATTTCCATAGGTTTAAATGGAGGAAATCCGGTGTTGCCAAACTGCTGGATCCGCCAATGCCCTTGATGGCATTGATACTCGGCGGGTTGAGGCGCTTTCAGACGACCTCCGCGGATTCGGGCGAGGGTTTAGGTTTGGACTTGGAGAAGAGATCCTCGATCTCCTCTAAAGTCTTGTTTTTCGTCTCCGGTAGGAAGCAGAATATGAAGACGGTACCCAGGAGAGTGATACCGCCGAAAAGCTGGAACGTACCGACCATGCCGAGCGTGCTGAAGAAGAACGGGCTCGACTTGACCACCACGAAGAAGACGAAGAAACCGAAGAAGGAGGTCGCGCCACTGCCCAACTCCCGGTGTGCTGCTGGAAACACCTGTAGCAAAGAAAGAAAACCTACGATTAAACGAGCCGTGCATGTTTTAAAGCTTTGCGCGTATCGCAGCGAGTGGCAATGGAAATCAAAACGCCTTCTTAAATTCGTGTATGCAATCCGGGCAGTCTTCGAGCACGAATAGTCGTATCCATGCGCCGTTGATGTAGTATCAACCTCGTTGCATCGTCGCGTTCGTTCTTGCAGTTTCCCGCTCGCGACGACTACATACTGTCAAAGGAAACTTCAGAAATACTCGTAGATTTCATAAAGACAACTCTTAGAAAAAACCGTTAAAATATTTTTTATGGTTTAGGAAACCCTTGTTGGGTGTGTCTCAAAGTAAACGAGAGGTAATATTTAAGTTTAAAAAAAGCGTTGAAAAAACTCTTGAAAGATCTGCCGTAGTTTGTTGACACTTAAAATTTATGGTTGCAAAGTGTTAAAAAATCCACTCCTTAAAAAATAGCAATGATTATTTAAAGACTTACACCTTCTTTTGCGTGTAAGGGTGCGTGTGTGTGTGCGTTTTTTTTTTTTTTAAATCAATAGGTAACCTAGGTAATTGATAGGTAATCAATAGGTTTCCTTTTTATAAAGGAAATGATTTTGAACTGTTCTTTTTAAAGACATATTTTGAATAGTGAAATATTTTACTAAATATGGAGCTCGATCTCTTAGGCTTATTTTAGCAAAACAGCTGAGCAGGTCCTTCCTCTCTACTCTCTATGAATTGAATTCCACGGCTTAGGAATGTGAATAAAATTCAACATCATCTAAATCGTGCACTGCACCTAAATTCTAACCTGTTTCAATGATAATAATAAAAAAAAAAAGTTGGCTCAATTTTTGAAAGAGATGAAAAAATAATGGCAGATATTCTTAAATATTGCGAAAAAATACATGACTTAATAAGCCAGCCAACGTGAGTACCTATGTTGTGTGAGCATGCGTACTATAGATCCATTCAAATAATAGATGATAATTCAATTTCCTCGTGAAGATAAAAGCAAAGCCACAGAGTAATGGTTTCAAATAGCAGAGATCATTCGATGAGGTCCCTTGCTTCCTTCCTCTTGTCTCTCGCGTCACGTAGCGATATTTTACAAGCAAGTTGAAGCGAACCTTGCGTTCCGCGCCGCGCGTATTGCAGTAAACGTAAACTGAAGTCAAAGCGCCTTCATCGTTTCTTGTATGCAATGCAGGCAATCATCAAGCACGAATAGTTGCGTGCACCTAGGCGTTAGTATCATCATTGAATCGTCAAGTTTTATGAACCAAGGCATTGCCGTGTTACAAGTCTGACTTAAAGACTCGATTTAGGGCAGAATTTCACGCAGAGACTCCACGTCCATCTTCATGAGAGCCCATAAAATAACAGTCGTTTTGCTCCATAGTGAAATAATGATGATGCCACCGGAAAAATGAATTAAGTGTTCGAAATTAAAGAGAAGCGTCGAAACCCGACTTACGAAATAATAGAATGATTTGCTTAAATTGTCGAAACGGTTTTGATCCTAAAAGCCAAGAATCTTAATGACACGAGACACGTCAAAATTGACATTTTACGCGACTGTTGACGAAATGTACCCACCAAAATAGAAGAATTTCTCTTTCTCATGGTAAAGTTACGGTTATCAGGGATTACGCTTTCTGGGTGGATATTGTATCAAAACATCACCAGATCCTTGTTACTCAAATGTTTCCTCTTTGATTAGAGGAAGTACAGTTTTGGGAAATGGACCACCTCACCTTGAATTTGTACTTGAATTGATGTAAAAATGATAAAGATTACGTATGTCGAGGCAATTGAGGGGCCTGGAGGACAAGGCGCAATAGTGCAGTTTTTGAAAAAATTGAGATATGAATGATTTCAAGTAAAAATTCGCTCTCAAATTCCAATTTTTAAACTTTTTGAACTTTCTCTTCGACATGAGGATCCATGGAATTTCGAATCTTAAAACAAGCAGGTATTTCTCGAAATAGCAAAAACTGAGCTTATGCGTCTTGTCCTCACGGAGAAAAAAACTTCGTGCATGGGACCCGAAGTTGAGGTCATATGGCTCTCTGAAGTTTTCGGATCACGCATCCGAAAACTGAAGTTCGGGTCAGACATCTGAAGCTCTCGGTATGTACCGGAGTCCTTCAGATGTGTGACCCGAACCCTTCGGTATATACCGAAGTACTTAAGAAGTATGGCCCGAACTTCGGCAGTTGGACCTCAAGTTTTCGGATGCGTGATCCGATAACTTCAGAGATCCATATGACCTCAACTTCGAGCCCCATGCACGAAGTTTTTTCTCCGTCCTCCAAGCCCCTCAGTTGAAATTGTTGCCTTACCTCTCCGGTCATAACCCATGGTAACGGGACGAGCCCGATACTAATGAAGCAGATGTACGAAGCAAGAAGTCCGGTTGGCAACCAGCTGAGGCTCGGATACTCCTTGTAGAAGGGCGTCTTGAGAACGGCGGCCAAGGACAGGAGCGAAACCGTGGTGCCGACCAGCGAGATGAGACCCAAGGGTCGCCGACCGAACTGCCGCAGGAGGATGCACGTGGCCAAGGACATGACCACGCGGATGACGTCGATGACGATGGTGGCCAAGTACTCGTCCACGTTCCCCGAGACGGTCTTCATGATATCCACCGAGTAGAAGGCCACCGCGTTGACTCCGGAGAACTGCTGCACGAAGAAGAAGACGTTCATGATGAAGAAGGGCTTCAGGAAGGAGAGCGAAAAAATGGAGCGGAGGGAGTGGGCCAGACGTTTGAACGACCCCTCCTCCGAGTCGCTTCTACTGGCAGGCTTCTTCGAAAGGATAACTTTAAGCTCGCCCTGTGCCTGGTCTGAGTAGCCCCGCAGCCAATGGAAAGCCTCCTCCGCCTCAGATGTATAACCTGCAACGTAACGGAACTGATAAAGTGATGGATTCGTATGAGGCGATTTTATACATACACAAGTTTGCCCGGGTGAAATGAAAAATATGAAAGATTGGAATACTCCATAAAATCTCACCACTGAGTTATGAAAAATATGGAACATATTTTCAGGGGCTGCGTACGCAACACACACTAAAAATACCAAAAAACGAAAACGTATAATGCCTTTTCCTTTACGTTTGCATTTACTTTCAAAATATATTTTTCAATAGCTTTCATGTTTTCTCTGAAATTTCATTAAATATTTCGCATGAAATTTCAAAATTTTCCTTTTCATGAAAAATTGCAACCCTCTACATCTATCGCATCTACAGCGCTCTGCAACAACTTACCGCCACATGTGCATGTCTATCTTCTCAAAGGTAATCGGGCAACTGACTGAAAGTTGGACAAAACTTCCTTCATATGTCCAAGGATATACGACACGCGTCAACATGGTCAGTATACCCTACTCAAGACCAGCGTTATTGTTTTTAGTATCGTCTCTTCCTCACTGCAAGATCAAACTGCATCAACTAAGGCTAAAATCAAACTAAAAAACTCAAATTCGCTTACGTCTAATTGCCATTTGGCAATTAGACGTAAGCGAATTTGAGTTTTTTAGTTTGATTTTAGCCTTAGTTGATTTAATCGGTTCGCTGTTTTTTAGTTTCGTTCATTGTTTTAATCAAACTGCATGTTTTTGCCAAAAGTGTAGAGTACCTTCGTAAAGAGAGTATGGACACTGGGTTGCATGGAGCTCTTAGGATATAAAAAAATCACGGTTACTCTAGATGGTAGAAGGTGGGAGGCCTAAAAACGGATCTGAAAGCTGATTTTGGCGAAATATGTGAGTTTTGCTGAGTTGCCGAGAAATCCTCTTTTTTCGCCAAGATCGGCCTTCAGACCCTTGATCAGATCAGTAATAGACCTAAAAAGAGACCTAAAATGACTAAATCATGATGCATATCGTAGAATATAGACCTCCGATGTGCAAAAAATCGTACAGTTGAGAAATTTCAGGCAGGGTGGGCTTAAAAACGACCCTTATCAATACCTCTTCTTCGGGCGCTCTCACGCCGGCGGCGCCGCACAGTGTATCTAATCAGTTAGAGTGGTCGGACAAACAATTTTTGACTAAAACTGAAAATTTTAATGTTTATTTCGTCACATTTTAAATTTAAAGGGTACTTCTGGAGGATATTTTTACGAGGAAACCAATGAAACCACTTTTAGAATCGCAATGTTTTGTATAAACGGGGTTATAAGCGTTTAAAGTTTCCAAATTTTGTCAGACCTCGCTTTTTTGATTCGATCCACCGTGCGCCGAGCTAGAGTACCTGTATAGCGAGAGTATTGACAGATGTGAAACTCCGAAAATCCATCAGGCCTTCACCGCTGCCTCCGCGAATAAAGTCAGGGCCCAGAAAAGCAGCCAACCTATGAATTTCAATTATCCAGAGCGATTTATTAGAACAATTATTACGAACCATCGTTTATAAAGCACGTATTTGACTTAGTTTTTGCGTAAATTTCCTTATTTTTGTGGAAGGACGCTCATTTCGGTACTTTTTTAGCCATCTTCGTTAGAATTGGAGTCTACAGACTGGCAGTGAAATTTTGTGCGTCAGAAGTTGGTTAGAAGGGTGGCTGCACTTTTGGGCCTTAAGCCCTCTATGAAGTGATCCGTCCATACTCTCGCTATCAGGTACTCTACGCCGAGCCTGCCTGAAACGGATGTTTAATTTACGGGCACTCACCCTTGATGGCTAGCCAGGAAGGTGTTTCGGGGCAGATCCAGAAGAGGCCAAAGCTGAGGCAGGGGAAGAAGACGCTGACGGCGGCGGCGACCTTCCAGTAGAGGAACGTGCCGAGGACGTGCGAGAGGAGGATGCCGACGGAGATGGCGAGGGTGACGGTGGCGAGGAGGGCGCCGCGGTGCCGCGGCTCGGCCGTCTCGGCGATGTAGACGATGGACGGCGGACCGAGGAGGCCGACGGAGAAGCCGGTGAGGAAGCGGCCCACGTAGAGGTGCCACACGGTCGTCGCCAGGGACAGGAGGACCCAGCCCAGGAGGAACGGCACGCACAACAGCAACTGCGTCATCCGCCGCCCGTAACGCTCCATGAGGACCCCGCTGAAGATGCAGCCCAAAGCCATCGGCAGGGCCGCCATGCTCGCTATCCATAGGAAACACACATAGAGACGATACATTTTAGAGATCCCTCCATACTTATTTAGACAATTGAATGGAGTGAGACAAAAGTAAAATTCAGAGGTCAACGCTCAACGGTACACCGAAAAAACAGGGATGCTGATTTAATATATTCTAGATGTAAAAAAGTGTGCGACGGCTCACAAAACGCTGAATTAACCGCCAGAGCAGTTAATTCTACATCTTGACATTGCTAAAGTAACTGCTGTAGCGGTTAACGGCGTTTTGTGAGTTCTCGCACACCCTCTTTACACGGAAAAAAATAACTGTGCGCGGATAACCGTCTTGGTTTTGTTAATTAAAAGTTGGTGCCGTATACATGAAAAAATTGATAGAATAACCAACGGCATTGTATTGTCCACAACGTCTTTAGGGAAATCAATCATTTTCATTTAGTTGCTACTAGCTATTACAAATCTGTTCACCGAGACAAAATTGATGGTAAACTGCTCCATCAAGTTGACTCATTGCACCAAAGAGTGCGCATGCGCTTCACCTATCTTGTTTTTGGTTGATGCTACTCGGTTAAGTGGGCTCATTGAACTACAGAATGCGTTAGTGCAAATTATAAACTTGTTGATTATGAAGGTCACCATCTCAGATAACTCAATTAAAGTATTTTGTTAGTAGTCTGCCCCGTCAATTTTTTACGCTTTGCCAACATTGAGTCACAAAAGAAAGTAATCAGATATGGGCTGATTAGGGAAAGTATGTTGATAAATTTTCAAGAATTCATATTCAACCCACCTTGTGTGACTGATAAATGTGTAATAACATGTTCGTGGAGCGTACTCCTTTTCCCGCCCCTGGCTCGGGCGACGGTAAAGCCGCCGCAAAACTACATGACTTCGCGCAATTAATTATTCTTGACTCTGCTCGGTTTTAATGATAATTAAAGGACATTTATTACAACAATTCAGAAACTTGGACGATGTTAAATTTTTCACTGTTTTAAAAAAAAACGGATTAAAACGAACTAAAATATTAATCCAGACCAAAAATTATTTAATTCTAGATGTAAAGTATACCTCATATCGTAATTTTCGAGGGGAAAAATAAAACTAACACTGATAGGAGGTGAAAATAGGGCCGCGAAGCGGCTCTTTGATGGCGAGGAGCGCCCTCAGGGGGTTGGACCGCGTAGCGGTCAGGGGGCATAGCCCCCTAGTATTTGACTATTTGCCTAGGCATTTGACAAAATGCCTAATTTTACGATTTGCCTGCGACATATCGATTGCAGTGTTTGAAAATTTCTTTCCTCTCCCCTCCTCTCCTTGGCACCAAGTTTTACGAAAATCCGACGAGCAGGAACCGAGATAGCGTTTTAGGCCACGCCCGCCCCCTTGGTTTTTCGAATTTTCGAAATTAGACTAAAAATTCGAATTTAATCAATGGAATGGGAGCCGATGTATCAATTAAGGCTACGTCCGCCGTCTTAAATTTTCAAATTCAGAAAATTCAACTTGAAACGCATCATACCCAAAATCTAAGCTCAGATTCGGCTTCTTCGTGAAAAATCGTTGCTATTTCATGTATCATCTGTTACCATAGCATAAAGAAAAGAGGGTAATTGTAGGCGTGAAGATTCTATCAAAGCCGGCCGGTATGCGGAAGTATATAGGCACAGAATTCAAACGTTTGAGCTACGCCGCCAGGCGCCGGCTTCAAGCATTTGGTTCGACCGTTTCCGAGAAAACAAACTTCTTCTTACTCATCAGCTGACCCACTCCGAATCACCCATGTTGCCACGTCGGACTGATATGTTAGAATCTACACGCCTACGTTAATCTCTTTCCATCATGATATGGTGACATATGATACATGAAATTGCATCGATTTTTCACGAGGAAGCCGAATCTGAGCTTAGATTTCGGATATTATGCGTTTTAAGTCAAATTTTCGTTTATCTATTTTAAAATCACTCAGGAAAATTTGCGGAAACTCATTAGAATAACAGTGTGTTATTCTTTGAAAAACATTGATCAAAAATAAAACATTGACGGTATTTGAATCCATTAATCTCGGAGATATCTTGAACACGGTTGTTCTACGACTTTTTACATATCGACGGTGAAAGTCGGCAATCACATAACTCGTTTGCGGTGTCTGAAAATCTCAGCCTCTACGTCATTTTTTTAAAGGAGAGCAAATTGACATTATTTCTTGAAGTTTTTGCAGAATTTTCTTCGCATTGAGAAGAAAATTCATGACAGTTTTAAAGAATTGCCGTTGAGTAGTTTTCCATTTAAAAAACAAAGTATGACAGGAAGTCTGCGACGTCGCAAACCGAGTTATGTGATTGCCGACTTGCACCGTCGATATGTTCTTTCTTCCGCATTGGTTGTCGGCAGCGTAGCGGCCAAAGGCAAGGCCCCTGGTACTAATAATAGTTTTCAAAATCAATTTTTTTCTACATAAAATGAAATACAAAAATTAGAAAAATGAATGAACCAATCTAAGTATGTGGATTGAATATCCTGGTTTTCCGTTCAAATCGAAGCTATATACAGGTTTCTCGGTCAAGATTCCCATCATACTGTATAGCTCAATCGTTAGGGTCTTCGGCTAGGGTTAGAGAGGTCCCGGGTTCAATCCCTGCGGAAGGCAAAAAAATATGATTGGTCGGATACGACTACAGCACCTCACAATAAGTACTGTAATCTCATTTTACTCGATTTCGACATTTATTTACGTGATTAACCCTTTTCCACCATCCCCAGCTGCGCACCTCGACATTGCACACCTTTGTACCTATTCAATTTTTTTAGCTGAACGTTTCACAAGAAAATACTCCTCTTTATGGCTAAAAACACAAAATATTCTCCTTTCTCAAAAGGTTCTCCTTACTTTCATGATTGATACACTAAACATCCGGATGGGTCAGTTTACCATCTTTGAAAGTCTATCTCAGCAACGTTGTGAGGGACGTCTACGGAGGACGGCGCGCCCGCCCAGCAGTGTTGGTGAGAATTACCATCTTTGTTGTCAACGCCTACCTGATCGCGGTTTGAGGTTTCTACCCATCATACTTTGTGCTCGTAGCAAAATTGTTCTCAGGGGTCGAATCTGGGAATTCAAGATGGTAAATGTCACCTACTATCTGGCTATAAGCACCGAAGATTTTTTTCCGTGTACATTCAGAGTATGCTAAATCAGCATCACTTTTTTTTCGGTGTAATTTTACACTATAACCTATTAATAACGTTTCATAAACATCGATCGAACAGGATCTGATACAGCATTTTAGGCAACGTACGCCATCTTGAATTTCGGAGTTTTGAAAAATGACTTAAACCTCGAGCTTCCCGTCAAATAATATCTCTTTCTACCGAGTTTCACGAAAATTGATCAAAAAGGAGCCGAGATAGCATTCTAGGCCTCGTCCGCCATGTTGGATTTTGCAGTTTTGAAAATTTGACCAAAAATTCAAGTTTCCCTTCAAAAAATACTGCCTTGAACCGAGTTTCACTAAAATCGACCGAACAATAAGAGCTGAGATAGTATTTTATGTCACGCCCGCCATCTTGAATATTGGAATTGTGAAAATGTAACTTAAAACTCGTGAATCCAAAATCTAAGCTCAAATTCGGATTCCTTGTTGAAAATCGATGAGNGACGTCGCAGACTTCCTGTCATACTTTATTTTTTAAATGAAAAACTACTTAACGTCCAGTCTTGAAAATTTCTGTGATTTTTTCTCTTCGTGCGGAGAAAATTCTGTGAAAATTTTTCAAGGAATGATTTTGATTTGGTCTACTTCAAAAAAAATAAAATGCGAGCGTAGATTTTTAAACACCGCAAACGAGATACGTGGTTTGGTAATTTCACCGTCGATATGTTCTTTCTTCCGCATTGGTTGTCGGCAGCGTAGCGGCCAAAAGCCCCTGGTACTAATAATAGTTTTCAAAATCAATTTGTTTCTACATTCAAAATTCCAAGGAAATGGCAGAAATTTATCAATTGTTACTAATGTTTTTACAATGTTTCTTGTCAATTATGTGCTGTCGTTAAGCTAAATATCCCAGGTTTACCAGTAGGCTAGGCATGCACTATATTTAACACCATGTCAAGGCTTCAGTACTTTAGAGGGGCAATTTTTTTATTTTCTATTCTGCATAATCTCACTTGTTCAAGTAAGTAGCCTGGGCTTATTTGTCCAGTGCTAGAAGCACTTTAGCCAATCATAAAAATAATCCTACTTTGAAAATTTTGAATTGATTCTCGACATGAAAAGAAAAAAAGAAAAAATAGATAAATAAAATGCGGTTATAAATAACAACGAAAAATTAAAATAAAGTGACTGGATTAAAGTAAAAAAAATCAAAAATTGCAAGAAATAAAATAAAGTAAGTAACGGTAAAATACAGGGAAGAAATAAAGAATAAATAATCAAAAAAAAATAATATTAAGTAAAGAAAAAACAATAAAGTAAAACATTAAAATTAAGTAAAGAAACAAAGGAAAAAATTAAAATAAAGTGAATAAATAAAAAAGAAATAATCAAAGAAAAATTATATTACATAAAGAAAAAAAATAAAGTAAAAAATTTAAAATGAAGTAACGAAATAAAATAAAGTAAAAAACTGAAATAACGTTAAAAAATAAAATGAAATACAAAAACTAGAAAAATGAATGAACCAATCTAAGTATGTGGATTGAATATCGACGGTGAAACTACCAAACCACGTATCTCGTTTGTGGTGTTTAAAAATCTACGCTCGCATTTTATTTTTTTGAAGTCGACCAAATCAATATCATTCCTTGAAATTTTCACAGAATTTTCTCCGCACAAAGAGGAAAAATCACAGAAATTTTCAAGACTAGATGTTAAGTAGTTTTTCATTTAAAAAATAATGTATGACAGGAAGTCTGCGACGTCGCAAACCGAGATACGTGGTTTGGTAGTTTCACCGTCGATATCCTGGTTTTCCGTTCAAATCGAAGCTATGTACAGGTTTTTCGGTCAAGATTCTCATCATACTGTATAGCTCAATCGTTAGGGTCTTCGGCTAGGGTTAGATAGGTCCCAGGTTCTATCCCTGCGGTAGGCAAAAAATTTGATAGGTCGGATACGACTACAGCACCTCACAATAAAAACTGTAGTCTCATTTTACTCGATTTTGACATTTATTTACGCGATTAACCCTTTTCCACCATCCCCTAGCTGCGCACCTCGACATTGCACACCTTTGTATTCAATTTTTTTAGCTGAACGTTTCACAAGAGAATACTACTCTTTATGGCTATAAACACAAAATATTCTCCTTTCTCAAAAGGTTTTCCTTGCTTTCATGATTGATACACTAAACATCCGGATGGGTCAGTTTACCATCTTTGAAAGTCTATCTCAGCAACGTTGTGAGGGATGTCTACGGAGGACGGCGCGCCCGCCCAGCAGTGTTGGTGAGAATTACCATCTTTGTTGTCAACGCAACGCCTACCTGATCGCGGTTTGAGGTTTCTACCCATCATACATTTGTGCTCGTAGCAAAATTGTTCTCAGGGGTCGAATCTGGGAATCCAAGATGGTAAATGTCACCTACTATCTGGCTACAAGCACCAAAGATTTTTTCCGCGTACATCCAGAGTATGCTAAATCAGCGTTACTTTTTTTTTCGGTGTGATTTTACACTATAACCTATTAATAACGTTTCATAAACATCGATCGAACAGGATCTGATACAGCATTTTAGGCAACGTATGCCACCTTGAATTTCGGAGTTTTGAAAAATGACTTAAACCTCGAGCTTCCCGTCAAATAATATTTCTTTCTACCGAGTTTCACGAAAATTGATCAAAAAGGAGCCGAGATAGCATTCTAGGCCTCGTCCGCCATGTTGGATTTTGGAGTTTTGAAAATTTGACCAAAAATTCGAGTTTCCCGTCAAAAAATACTGCCTTGAACCGAGTTTCACTAAAATCGACCGAACAAGAGCTGAGATAGTATTTTATGTCACGCCCGCCATCTTGAATATTGGAATTGTGAAAATGTAACTTAAAACTCGTGAATCCAAAATCTAAGCTCAAATTCGGATTCCTTGTTAAAAATCGATGAGATTTCATGTATTGGCGGCTAGCGTAGCAGGAAGGAAAGAGTCTTTCAGTACGTACACTAATTCTAACATATCAGTTCAACATGGCAACGTGGGTGATTACTGAGTGGGTCAGCGAGAGAGTAAGGAGAAGTTTCTCTCCTCGGAAATTCTCCGGGACGAAACAGAATGCTTGGCGCCACTAGGCGTCAGCCGGCGCTATGCGGCATAAATCAAAGGTTTGAAGTCTGTTCGAATCCTACTTACTCACCCATGCCTATATTCGACAGATATGACGTATGATACATGTGATCCCATTGATTTTCAACGAGAAATCCGAATCTCAGCTTAGATTTTGCTTATCACACGTTTTAGTGAATGCACACTATAGTAAAAATTACAGGAGTGTTCTAAAAATGTATCACCCGCGGTAGTGTTTTTTTTTTTCTTTTCTTTTCTTTTCTTTCTTTCTTTTTTCAGAACGATCAATTTTGAAAAATCTCGTTTCCTGTATCATTAATATGAATATCTTGCTCATGAAATATATTGAACTTATATAAAATGAATAAAGTAAAAACGACCAAAGTTCCTTTTGCGGACGAATCGATCCAAGGACGTATTGTAGACGAGACTTGAATTTTAGGTTAGGCTTTGAAACCATCATGCTCTGGTTCCTATATTTCTCCGTTAATTGGTCCCTAATACTAAATCCTGAAAAAAGACGGGATGTGGACGGAACTTAATTAAAAGATGTACCTATCCATGACGCTTGATCATGATCTATCTTCAATGTTGAGTTAGGGCTCTTCAGTTGAGGTAAAAGGACTGCTGAAAACCCCGCTGTCATTCCTGAACTTAAAGTTGCAATAATCGGTCCAGAGGCGGCAAGAAACTGCAACAATCAATGAATATTCAAAGTAGGCTAAAAATAAAAGCTAAATAAAGTCTGGAAATATACGGATAGAGGGAAAGAGGAAGAAATTCCACCCCGCTTGGGCCGGATATTGGCTCGGAGAGCCGATGCAAAATGTGGGTGGGGGGATTATGATGCCTAGCAGTGAATAAAATATGATGAAAATATACTTTATTCACCGATAAATTTAAGTTTTTTATAAAACAAATGTATCTATAACTATCTGATTAATTTTATTATTTTTTATTTTATTTTTAGAGCGATTTACTATTAATTTTAATTACTGTTACAACAATTAGGTTTATAATGATTGGCATTGACCCTAGTCTAGCAAACTGGAGTCTTACGTCTCATTGTATCTGCCAGACGATGACGCATTAGACATTAGCGTGTAGAAAAGCAAACATAGAGGGAGGAGGAAAGGACGAAAGATAGAAAGAAAAGAAGAAAAAGAGTACAAAGAGAAAGAAAATGGGAGAGACGATAAAGAAGAGGAATTAGGAGGATCAAATAAATGAGAAAAAAGAAAAAGAAAGGAAAAGAATAGGAGGAATAATTAAAGGAGGAAAGAGCAGAGGAAGAAAGGAGAAACATAGGGGGAGTAAGAGGAAGACGAAGACCGAAGAAAGAGCAAAAACAGCAACATCAGGACTTTTTGCATATCGTTTCAATCTAAGCGTTCTCCCACAAACTAAAGATCACAGACAGTAAATTCAGTGGAGATATTATCACGGAGACTATTTCATACCTGTCTAAAAAATGGCGAGAATTTGGCTTTTGATGATATGAGTGGCTTTTCTTCTTTGTTTGGAGCTGCTTTTGGCCTCTGGTCACCGTCCGCTGCAACCGCCAAGTCCAACTCTTTCTTGGCGGACATCGTGATATCCTTGAAGCGCCTGCAAATGACAGCAATACCAAAATCAATACACGACAGCTAACCTGCATATTCCACAGTGACGATGTTGTTACTCTATTAAAGAACTGTGCATTAGACGAGCCATAGATTTTCAAAATGTTCACGAGACTAATGCACGCATCAGAAATTGCTTGATCGAAACAACGCGATGCGTATTTTTGTTCTCAAAGTATCTACTTTATCTATCGAAAACTGTTGACATGAAATTATCACATTTCTCATAAAAAGTTTTAGTTTTGATAGAAATCAACAGGTGGGTGCAGAAAATGTTCATTTCTAGAAGTAGATTTTAAAGAAAACTAAAAAAATTAACGAAACGAGAAATTTTATTAAAGTGCATTATACATATATTTTTTTTTGGTACAGCCAAAGGCTTTAATAGAGCAACTAACTCTCAAAAATTTTGGCTTTTTGTTCCCACCGGACCATCTGCACACGAATCATAATACCTTATGCAAGTCTAATAGGTATGAATTTAAAATATTTTTTTGAATTATAAAAAAAGAACGTTGACTTCGATCCACGTACGGACATCATCTTTTAGATAGTAAGTGCACTTTCGCTTTGAGATAATTCGACATGAGCTTTTGGTGTGTCGCCAGATATTTCACTTTGTAACTTATTTTTAAATCCATCTACAGTAATTTCGAGGGCTATATGAAAGTGGATCGATCATTTGATATTTTCTGGGCTTAAGACATTTTTCCTAAAATTCCCACACAATTTCATCCCACCGCCGAGCATCAGGTTTGTTATTAAAACAATTTGATCGGAAAATGATTTTATAGCAACTCCGAAGTTATGTTCTGATTGAATATCGCAAAAAGCATTATCTTCAGATTTGCGATATTCACTCGAAGACACTTCATAGTTATTTTAAAGTGTATCTGAATCATTATGTCTGACGCAATATAGAGCTTATGTGACTTTTAAAGATTTTTAAAAATTTGTCTTGAAAGCCAGAATTATCAATTGGTTAATAAAATATATGAGATCGTGCACAAAAATGCAGTGAATTCACTTGTCAAAAAGCCACGTGACTTCGGGTTAAATGACCGTCAGACACCCATTCACGTTCAATTTTCATTCTGCTGTCATTAATATGTGAAAAAAGATAATAGATTGAGCCTTGAAAACCGTGTAAGTTCACCAAGTTCATGAACACGATAAATAAGTTAATTAGGACCGTTGATACTTTTGTTCCAAAAGAACGAATAATTTCGTTTGATGAAATAAAAATAATTTGAGAGATTTCGCAATAGACGCTTATCTTCACTTCTTTCCTAATTTTATGAGATTTTCCTGCAGTATTAACTATGGCTCATTGCTTTTTGGACTAATGCCCGCGACAAAACGTTATTTTATGTAATATTTTTATTTATCATGTGAAAAATTAGCATTTTTTGAAGTACCAAGAGGTCCGCTTTTTGCATGGCCTTCCCGTGGCCCAATGAAACTAATAACTTAAACTAACTAACTAATAACTAAACTAATAAAACTTTTACTTCGCCGAAAAGAAAGTAAGTACAAAATATAAAAATCAGAGAAACTCCTCGTAGAATGAAGTGGAAGAATGCTTGCAATGAACCTGCCATTATCGAACATTTAATGGGAAACTCTCAGAAACCGCAATAAAAGAGAGAGCCTAGAATTCGCTGTCAATTTGTTGGATAACCCCCGAATTGCACAAAAGGCCAATCCATTTGCCAAATCAACACTCTGCACTAGTTTGCGACCAAAAAACGTAAAATTTCCTTCCAACACGCAACCGAGAGGTACTTTTGAAAACCACAACGGTGGTCGTCTGTGATTATGACCAGTTGAGACACCGAAAGAGGGTATAGGACTGACCATATCATTAGGTCAAAAGGTTAATAGTCCTGAGAGAAAAAACCGCTCAGTCACTTGTGGACAGTGGAGTAGGATGGCAGTTTTGCATCAATTCCAGCATTACATTCTCAACACAGCCCGAAAGAGAAATTTCACGAGAAAATATCACTGAGATTACGGGATGAAAAAATGCTCACCATCATTCACCGCAGAAACAATTGCTCTTTTGGTACGAGTCATTGAGGAGGACACAAAAACTTGTAATTCTGAGAAAGGATATTCTTTTCGCAGCCGCGGTTCTCTGCGATTCGTACGCCAACCGAAACACTAACTGAATGACTTTCCGCCAACCAGGCCTGCATTTTTCGACTGTCAACGTTCGGACTGAGGAGGTAACCCGTATTACCTAATAATTTCTTATGCCATCGGCTTCGCGGGAAATTCGATGAATCGACGATCGATTCAACTTCTCGATTAAGATGCGATTATTATCCCCTCTTCAAAACAAACACGGAAACTCTTAATACGTAATATTTAGCGATTTAATATTTTAACTTTTTTCAATAGGATAGATACCAACCATCGCATAAGCAACTCGGATGTCACTAGTCTAAATCGTGTTTTTTGTGCTTTTAAAGCAACGACGACACCAATTACTTTTTGAAAGTAAAATTGGGAAAACTGTAAACATGTACCTATGTCAGTAAGATAAATCATAATTTTTTATTTGGGCGATAATTGGAGGAAATAGGTATTGTTTTTCTTTTGGTAATACGGATGCGCATCCTTCATTGCGTTTGATCGCACGAATGTAATTGTTGTTATGAAAGTTTTTCCAAGAACAGAGCAGCCGCGAGGGTTTATTACTGTCACCTACAGAAACAGCAAGTTTGACACTCCTCCTGACTCTATTTCGAGTCATTAAAAGGAGGAGAGGAAATTTTAAAAAAGATTGGGGAAAAAGAAGACGAAGGGGAGAGAGATTAGAGAGAGGAGAAGAGGAAGTAGGAGATAAAGGAGAGAGGAGAGAAGCTGAGGTGAAAATAGGAAAAGAAAGAATAAAAGAAAAAGAAGGCAGAAAAAGACAAATTAAAAGAAAAAGAAGACAGAAGAAAAACGAAAAGAAAGAGAAGGGGTAGAAAAAGATAAAGCAGAAAAAGAAGAAGAGGAAGAAGGAGACGAAATAGAAAACGGTGATAAAGAAGATGAAGAAACTGAAGAATGAAAATATCATGGAATCTCCAAAAAAATTAAATGGAGAAGAGAGACGCAAGAAATGCTGGCGCCTCACGCGGTTGCATACATTTCGTGACCCTTGTGTCGGGCTTGCCTATAAGAGGGGTTGCAAACGTCGATCTTCTTCTAGTCCATCACTACGCCGAGAAAATATTCAGAGGAGATCGCCGAATCGGCAGTAGTGCGACGGAGCCCCCCCCCCCCTGCAGAGGAACCGCAGACAGCCTGGCGCCTCACCGCGCGAGGCGCGCGATCCGACCCGCGTCGCGCGCGGTTCTCATCGGAAGTGATGTAACTGCCGCATGCCGCGGTGTCACAGTCGAGGCCCGGTTGTCGCCGATCGCCTTAAACGTTCTCTTTAATTTCGGGTGTATGTACGTCTCATCCATCGTCCCATGCAAACGTGAGTCAGTATGAAATCACTCAGCGCCATGTTCGTAGTAATTGCGTAATTCTTTTCTTGGTAGGCCCTGTGTGGTTAACTTGTAATTAGGAGAGATTTAAGGAGGACCCTAACATGAAAAGGACAATTTTAACGATTCTAGAGTAAAATTCAACATTATATATTGGAGTATACATTGGGAAATACATCTTTGCAAGGCTTAAAATGATTTATCACGACATAAAATTTAAGAAAAGAAGAAGAAGAAAAGTATAATGTTCCTACTTTCTTTAAAATTTATCGAAATTATGAAATTTTTTTTAATAATATTTGGATTTTTCAACTTACAAATCCATGTTTTCCCTTAAAAGGAAGTATTCTCAAAGTTATTTCGCACGGAGAAAAATCTATGGCTTCATTAAACCAATTAGTGGTTCAAATGGAACACCACTAATGGTCATAAATGGACTGATGATTCTCAGTCCATGAACCATACTGAGGTATCTCGCACCATCACAAAGATATACATAAGTATGTGCTAGTATTTTATGTTGCCCTTACTACTATTAGTGGTGTTCCACATGAATCACTAACTGGTTTATATGCCGTGGCTTTTTCTCAGTATCTTGAATTTTACTCTAGATTTCTTAAAATTGTCATTTTCTTGAGACGTAATACTAATGTAAACTATATGGGGCCTCGAGAAAAGAGGTGCTGTTTAAGGAACGACTATAAACACGACCCTAACCGTATGGATACAACTATTCGTGCTTAGTAACCATCCGAATTGCATATACAAAATGTTGAAGGCGTTTTGATTTCCATTTCCACTCGCAATGATACGCGCAGCGCGGTGAGGTACAGCCCATATACTTTTCATTTCTTTTCATTTTTTTCTCTCTTTACGTGGTGCGAAGTTCAACCCTCCTTAATCTTTCCCGAATACGTATTCCCTCTTTTGCACTCCTGGTGGGAAAGTCCAGGGTACTTAGGTGTGCGCAGTATAATTTGGATTAGATGAGGATTATGCTGGACGCGGGGGATTTTCTTCAGGAACTCCAGTGGAACAGGAGGTCTGTGCGGTGTTGATCTGACGATTGAATAACCACTAAGACTGGGTGCTGTGCGACTGGGTCTGCAAGGCGAGTGACCTTCCGTCACAGAAACTCGGGGAAAATTCGTAGCCGATCGCGATCATCTCGCATTGTGATTCAACTTCCTCGCAACCATAATCGCGTAAATGCTGGACTTTCCGAACATTTGGCCGAAACTTATTCGGCAGATAGTTCATATAAAGTAATATTAGAGTTTGTTTTATTTCATTTTTTTTTTGAGAGGCGTTACCCTTGATGGTATCTGAAAATGAATGTGATCATACCCCAATCCATTTCCGCCTAAGACCTGCCCCACAATGAGGCATGAGAGAAAAGAGAGAAAATAGATAAGAAAGAGAAAAAAATTCTGCTTTTTAAAGAATTTCATGAAACTGGGACGCATCTCTCGTGGTGATTAATCGAATAACATAGTCACTTAATCAGTCTTTAGGTTCAGTTACACGATCAATTTGAGCCATCAAACTGAAGCTCTGATCGGTGGAAAAAGACCTGAGGTGAGGATGCGACCAATGAGAGGCCCAATTTGATGGCTCAAATTTGATCGTGTAACTGGACCTTTTTCATTTATCTTCTTCTGGATCGGAGTCACCCTCATTGAGTTTTTCCATTGTGCTCCGTCGTTAAAATCAAACCCAGCCCTCAGTCTATCTACAATGCAGGGGAGGGAAATTGATTAAGTTTCAGGAACTACCCCAGAACTTAAAGACGAAACCCACTTAATAACCATCCTACGCCATGATTTGATCTCTCATTCCAGAGTTTGCGGGATAGTTCTGACTTTTGTATTCATGACTTTCCTACAAAACGGATTTTTGTATCTTTTTTATTACAAACGATGATCTCGACCTCTACAGCACTAAGGGCAAGGGGGGGGGGGGGGGGGGGGTTGTCCATGTGCTCTTCTCCCTATGGACATTGGAAGAGTGATGGAGCTCACTAATTTAGCGTGATGATCGAAAAAAAGGATCCGAAATGGTATGGGAAAAGAGGGAAGAAAAAGGAAAGTATGCACACAATCGTCCCTTGATGAAAAGAAAACTATGGCGAGAGGGAGGGATTTGGGGTTTCCTAAAGGCAGATGAAAGTGAGGGGAAGTTTCAAATTGCTGCGCAATCGTGCGCATTCGAGTGCTTTTCATGGGCCAAAATGTTTGTCTTTGCAGCGCATCGTCATATGTTGAAAGTTATTTATATCGTTTTTAAAAATCCAAAATAATCTGGAACCGACAATTTTTCTTCGTTTTGTTTCAACTGGAAAAAAAAAAGTTTTATGTGTTGGCGAGATCAAGGTTGAGGGGTCGTATTCAAGGACTAGTAAAAGAAATACCCCACCGTGAGTATCTTTAACATCGGGATGAAAAATTAGAAACAGCCTCTGTCACTGAAAATAAATCCTCATTTCTCCGCCTCATTAAATATTTCGAAACATTTAAATTATAGTCTGTAACGCGTTTCTGTGAATATCGTATGGCTATCATTATCGACGATTTGCAAATACTGCTTCATCATCAGGATCTATTCTTGGTGTCTTTGGTCTCTGATTAGCACACATCTTTGTTGAGTCACTCTTTATTCGCAGTTCTTTTGAAATTCTGGCTGTCAATTTGAAATTTAACTTAATATATAAACTTCATGTAACAAGGTGGAGAAATGGTGCTGGGTTCACACCATTTCGTGGGGAAATCAACCCCGCCCAGCACCATTTCTATACCTTGTTACATTCAGTCCGGGCCACTTCTTCGTGTTTTTTTAAGCGTGCCAGTAGGGCTCGCTTTTTGAAATCACTTGGATGTACCATAGTACAGCACACCGATAAACCAATGCTATTCAACGGGCCGTCCAAATATTTTTTCCTCGGACCCGTTTTTTTGTCTTTGAACCGCTATACTGCCAAGCCCTGGTGGTCTTTTACCAAAAAACTGAATGAACTGCTGATTGGAAACCCTTGAGAACATTTTCCGGTCAAAACCGTATTATTTCATTTGACAAATCCTTCAAAAACCCTTTTTTACGCTAGAGCGATTTGAATCTAGAATATTTTTTCCCGCCGCACTTTAATGGGTGCTTCGTACCCATTGACTATATTCAACATGAGCCCTATGCATTACTCCATGATAGAATGCCATATCAAAACAACTGATATTATTAGCTCTTGGTTCAGCGATTCATTCAAGCTCATGTCTCCGAAATTTCAGTTGTTCGGCACGCTTTTCCAACATATTCATGTTGGATGTTTCTCCTTGTTTTTTTTTCTTCTTCTCGTATAAACTTTATTTGTACATACACAGCCCGTAAAAATTAATATCACATTTTTGAGAAATTTACAGCCTTGTAAAATTAATGACATATTTTACTGATATGTGAGGCTGTCTAGTTTGATACTTTTATGGTAAAAATAGCGTAGCTGCCGTTTTTTAGGTCTGCTTTACTATAATAAAACAACAAATATGAAAATGATTGTAAGATGTTATGAATTTCCACACTGCTGCATATATATGCAAGATTTAGATCACTAATTCCTCCTGTTTTCCTTAGCTAGCACTCGTTCTGTAAAATTAATGTCCTTAGTGCGTGATTAGGTCGAGGTCGAATGAGAAATGCAACGAGCGAACGGTCAATGACACTTGGACGTGTGCATGCGTTTGATGTGGTGATTGACGCCTGACAAAAAAGAATTTACTCCCGTGTCACGAGATATTTCCTCTGCTGAGCAAATATCACACAGCAGACATAGTAAGTTACTGGGCGAGTACAAAACTTGTAAATTATGCGCTTTGTCATAGTTAGTGGAACAATTTCTGGGCAATTATTTTAATCCAGCATTCTTGCAGGCTTTAAGGGTGGCATCTTACACACCATGTGCGCAGATGCTCGTATCTTAGGCGAAGATTTGGGTATATGAAACGTGCAAGAACTTAAGTTCAAGCACGTGAGGAGAGGGAGAAAAAATTGTATTGCGATGGAAAGAGACAATTTACCTGCTTAATTACATATATATTTATGCGATGTATTATCAGTAGTGAGAGCTTTTGCTCTTTCTCTTTTTGATGAGCTAATAGTTTGGGCTGTCATTTATATCTTATCAAGTACCGACGCGGCGATGTTTACGTAGTTTTTGCGTAGTGACTATCTTTTTTATTCAGTTCAAGATCAGGAGCAGTTGTAGACTCATACGGTAAAGGAACACATGTTGTATCGAGAACCACTTTCATGTCGAGCTTGCAATATCAGTATATTTTCTCGTGCTTATTTTTTTGTACTCGTAGAATTTCAGAAATTGACTCTGCGTACACTGATCTATAAGCGGACTTCCCGACAACTTTTAAATTTTGACAGCAAAATATACGTTTCCCTCGTTCAAATAGACCGCAAACTCACTTACAATAATTAGTACTAGTGAGATACTAGCGTTTTCGTCACATCAAAGTTTCCATTTGCCGAAAAGTCAGTTAGTCAGATCGTGGGCTGAACAAATTCCCCAATGGTGTACGCAGGAGTTTTTCCAGAAAGCGGGTTTTCATTAACAAAAGCTTAAGATTTTTGTCATTAAAATTTCACTCGCAAATCCATAACATAATAACGTCAAAATTTCCTAAATACATTTGCATCAAAGGACGTACTTTTTTGGTAGTCGTATAAAGTTTAAAATCAGATAGGAATTCCCGCGCGGAATGTCAAAAGTTCATCGCGGTATCATGGCTGAATAAAGTGCGTGCTTTTTTATTCAAGCGCAAAAAATTCCTAGTACGTAGTCACGGGCACGTTTTGAGTTTTCCCATCCAAGATTTAATCTAAGGGAATTTTAGATTGTGCCGCGTTTTTTGTTCTAGTTTTGGCAGACCAAAACTGGTTTCGATGCTTCTCCCACCAACAAAATTCATCTGTCACATGCGGAAATTTCCAAGTATAAAATTTTTACAGTAGCGCTTTTGAATATGCATACCAATCACATTCACATGTGCTCGCCCGCCACTGTGCTTGCAGAATTCTCTTAGAATTCAGGAAGTGACGTAGGGGAGGGGGGACAGGTACGGAATGACGGTTAAAACACTAAAGGGGTGCATAACGGGGCGCATTGCGTATCATCTGGCTTTGAATTTCATTTTAATGTTTTTAAAATTTAATGGTTCGTTCCTTTCATGAATATCCCTTTGGTCGCCCTTTATCATAAGTGAGAATAAACAATTGTAGCAAATAAATGCTTCAATATATCTAGAGCTTACTAAAAGTTGATTTATGAGTTGCACGTTGCACGTTGTAACAATGAAGGGAAAAATTAATGGCCGAAGATTCATAGCAGAAACGCACTTCATTTGAGCAGAAAAATATGAGTATTAATAAATATAGTTTTAAAATTAGGAACAAGGTCTAAAATTTATCGGTTTTTTTATGAAGCACGGAAGGCTGTGGGAGAAATGTGGTGGGGGCGTGGAGGAGGGCATCATGAATCATATTCATTCTGAGCACCATAATGCCAAGCTAGGCTACTGATCACAAGCGCTGATTCTCTTGGTAAAAATTAAACATTTCTTAAACGTCTATAGAAAAATGTTAAGTGGTGGCGTATAGGCCCATGGGATCTAAACCCCTCCCCTGACCGGAAAATTTCCCCCCAAAATTATTAATATTGTCTGGTTTTTTTTTGTTTTTCCCTTTTGACCCCCTTCTTTTACTCCTCTACGTAAATTACTGACAACTTTGTGAATCCAGGGGGAGGGAAGCGTTGGTGGCGTATACGTCCCTCGTTCGCCCCAAAAAAATGAGGAAGAAAAAAAAAAGAAAGAAAAAGGAAGGAAAGAAGAAGGAGGGACGTTTTATTTGGTACCTATTCGTGACAAAATTGACTCAAATTGCATATTAGATTATTTAAAGTTTTGAAAATTTTCTAGGGAAGCCCCCCCCCCCCCCGGGCTCGAAGTGTCTGGATCCGCCTATGCCTGACTACGCTTTTATTGTAAGTGGAATGTACTCCACGTATCAAAATTCAATTCCAAATCATATTTTTCGCCATCGATCAGTGCCTCTGCGACGTCAAGCTTTTGGCGCTTGCGAGATTCTTCTCTAAATAGAAGGATGGAGGATGACGAGGACGACTTACGTAGGTGGGATAGAGTTTCAGGAGGTCTTTTGGCGGGAAAAGCGGCGAGCATCCGCGGGCGGTGTTGGCTGGATACCACGTGGAAACCACGTTCGTTTTCGAGGTGCGGCTACGGGCTACGCCAGCGTGGGGCGCCGAGCCGGACGCGCTACTCTCGCGGAAATGCACGCCACAATGCCAAGATAGGCGCCAGGTGGCCGATGACCGAGTTCCGTTCCGAGTTCCCACACGAAACGGACCGTAATAAATAAAGAAAGACCTCTCCTCAGCCTTGTCTTCTCTTTTTTTAGAAAAAAAACAATACGAGAAGAAGAAGAAATCGACCCGGGAAAAAGCCCCGATTAAGTTTGCGTGGACGCACAAAGCGCACTTCTCAACGCGAGCGTGTCAGGAACTCCACCGATGATACGTGAAAAGTCCGACGGTCACGATGAAAAATCCGTTAGAAAACACAAAATACGTATTTTTTTGTCAAATTTCCTTGATTCAATGAATAATATGATGGTAATTAAAAAAAGATAGACTGCACGGTCGGTATTTCAAAATTAGCCACCTGCGCTTTGCGTACTTACAATTTTTTATCCGAAATTTTTAAGGAGATGAGTTGTAATAAAACTGATTCAAGAGAGCACAAATTTATTCACGCGTCTTTCCTATTGTTCCCAAGTCATTTAAAATAAAAAATAACAAAAATTGTCCACTATAATGTTAACTTATGAGAAAGTAAAACTGAATAGAAATATCACCTGCTCTATAAGTCAAATATTTTTAAGACCGATGTCGGATTTTAAAACGTATAAACTTTCCGAATGGAACTTTCTGCGCCTTAAATCGAGCTGCCGAAATCTTCATCCGCGACACCTGCACTCAGATGACAAATCCTCCGAAAAAGAGGATATTTTCACCGAAGCCGAGAGGCAAATTCGCGATGGGCTACACGACACGATATATCCTAGCCGAGCTTTAAACTTGGAGACCGGTCAAGATTTCGCGCGCACTTGGAAGGAGGCTCATTCGAAACTTTGACTGCAACCCGAAGGAAAACCGTGGCAAGAATGAACCAGGTCAAAATTTCGTGAATCGGTCAACTGGTTTCGGTTTTTCCTGCGTCGAGAGGCGGCGCTTCGCGACGCTACTCGACTGGCTCGGAAGCAAACCGGCTCTGTTTATGCCAAGCGCCAACCTCTTTCTCTCTCTTTTCCTCGTATTCACTTCTTCTTCCTCTCGTCTTATCATCCCCTCTATGGATTAATTGCCCGTCTAAGCAGGCACTTGAAGATATTCACTCCATTCCGCGTTGTCATTATGGGAAAATACTCATCCGTGTTACATTGCCACACAAGGAGAAATATGTTTTTTGTCACCATATTTGGCATCGGTGGTGTAATATTTGTCTTATTGCCACACAATGACTCTCACTTGACGGTATTTTTTTTCAGAGCCAAAAAATTGGAAAGTGTTAGAAAGAAAATGCCTTGTGAAGCGGAACATTAAATTCAGTAACTGACCCTACTGCTGCAAACGTTACTGAGTGAGATAATAATTCATCAAGAAAAATGGAAAATTTACACACAAAATTAGAAATAAGAAAAAACCGATTGTTAAGTCATCAGTGGCTGAAATTGGTGTTCCTAGGTACCAGGAGTTTGCATTAAGAAGTAATTAAGTAACTTAGACGAGCTTCACTGTAGTCCAAATATTAGAAAGCTGACATTTCTTAAAATTTGAAGAAAGAATGCCCTGCTTATTTTTCAGGTAGACTATAAATATACAGAAATTCAAATTCGTGCTCGGCTGTACGTTTGTTGCTTATTGCCTGCCTAACATAATTGGGTGAAAACTTGAAGTGGACAATATCTACCCACAGGATTACACGTGGTGGATACTGTCCATTCCATCGAAATTTTGTAGAGAGAGAATGAAAATTATATGTTCTCGAACAGATAACTATTCGTACTCCTCTGTAGGCTTGTTGCCTATCCAGTAGAATTGAAGGATAACTTCAACAGGACGACATCTACCGACAAGTTGACACTTGGTCTTTTCAATCACAGCTTGGAAGGAGAAAAAGATAATGATATGTTGCTCGAACAGATCCTTTAATCGCTGCTGCTTTGTTGATATCAATTCGTGTTCCTCTGTATATTTGTTGTCCATCCAGAAAAAGTTAGGGAGAACTTCAATGGGGTGATATGTACCAACAGGATGACACATGGTATGGTCCATCCCATCGAAAGTAGAAAGAGAAGAATAATGGCATATTGCTCGAACAGATAACTAGTCGTGCTCCTCTTTAGGTTTGTTGCCTAACCAGCAAAACTGAGGGGTAAAAAATCGAGTGGGCTGCATTTACCGATTCTGATATTCACATTGAGCGTTTGCAATCCTTCACGTGTGTACGAAGCTGTACCTGTGCTGTATAATTGTTGTGGTACTGTAAGGCACTGAAAGCGTATATCCGACTTGACTCATTGGCTGACTGACTTCGCGCGTCATTCGCAGGTTTTTTCGGGTGCTACTGCACACAGCCCCGGCATTGGATCATTTTGAACATTATTGCATCTTTTACATTTAAGTAAATCCTGTTTAAACCTCTTTAGAAGTTTTTGTTCTTTGTCATTCTTTCACCAATTCAGTTGGTGAATTCATTTTCGATTGGTTTTTTTCTTCAGAATTTCAGAAGTTAATCTAGATAATGCCAATTTCTAAATAAATCACTCGTTACCCAGTATCTTTGGTATGTCATTTTTTAAACAAAAAAACAAGCAAGTGTGAAACTTGATTTTTTTTTTGTTTTTGCGTATATTCTATCTTTGACTCCTGAGTTAGATTTTCACCCTGTGCTCCGATACCCTGGGTTATATAGGAATGGCAAAAATGACTATTTTGCTCACCATCATTCGCCTATTTCTCAACTAAACAGCTTGAAATTTGTGTGCCTTATCCTAATGTGTGCACGAGTGAAGATCAGTCACCAAAAGTTAATTACTAGCGCCCAATTTTATTTTAAAATAATAAAAACCAAAAATAAAGACTCTTGACGTTCCAAGACGAGAACACTCGTCCATAGGAGCTCGGTGCGGTTTTGCGATGACGATTATACTTGTCCATAGGAGGCAAAGGGTTAAAATCTGAAGAAAATTCCCGCTTAACAAGTTTTAAAGCGTTCTTCAATTCAGATCTCTGTTAAAAATAAAACACGAGGGAAAATGAAGCAACATGGCATGCAGTCCGGCTAATTCTTGTTGAATTCACCCCATTTTCCAGCATCAGGCTAAGCTTTCGTAGAAATTGCGTTACGAGATAAGCGCATAAAACGGACTCTTGAGAAAAAATATGAGTGAAATGTACGTCAAACAAATACGACGTTTCGGCAGAAGGTCGTCACATCTGCGAGTCGACGAGTCAGGGTCCCCTGTCCTAGGTCAGTGGGTCGGAGAGTGATAAACTGTCAGGTAGCAGCGGCGGCAGCGGAGCCACAATACTTGCGTAATCGGCGAATCGATCGCTTTGCGCCGGCCCGTTCCCGGCTCATCAAGAAAACTCAAGAAAGTGAAATCAAAACGCACTTTTAGACTCCAAGTGAAAGTGCAATGCGCGTTTAGTGCCGGGGAGCTCACCGCTTCAACTTCCTGCATGGAGGATATCAGTAGTACTAAAAGTTTCCACTCTCGCGGGTGAGATCACACGGAGAGCTCCCTTTCAAAATCGATTAATATTGGTAGAATATGCCGGGTACCTAAATAGCCTTTTTCCACGGAAAAATCGCAACATTTTGGAATTAAGTTACGATTTATATACGATTTTTTGGAGATAAAATCGATAGGATCATCAACATCCGAGTGATTATCCTGGTTTTGTCGCAATTTTATCTGATCAAAATCAAAGTTTTATTTCAACTTATCACGAGTTTTCGTTCAATAATATTGCGATAAATCGCCGTTGATAAAATTGCAAGTTTATTGCAAATTAATGCGATGAAATTGCAATTTTTTATCGATAATATTGCAATAAATCGACGTCGATAAAATCGCAATACATTCTCCGATCAAATCGCGATCACTGCTACTTGGGTAATGTATTCTTCTCGTTGAAAATTCAAGTATAATCAGGTTTGAGACGCTTCGTGTGGAAATCGCACGTCTCCCATACTTATGGTGTTGTACTCACGCAACTTACACTGAAAAGTTCTAAATTTTTTAGAGCTGAGGTTTTGATACTTATTCAAACTCAACGAATGTGAGAATCATCTTTAAAAATTAATCCTGCAGTTCATCAGAAATAGTTTCTCCAATGATTCGACTTGTTCCTGAGAGATGAGGCTACGCCTTGGGGCGGCACCCTATTCCCTCCCAAGATTCCCTCCCGCTAATGACCGCTGCTCAATGTCCGTTTCCAATTCCCTCCCGCTAATGACCTTTAATAAAATGAAGTGACAACGTCGCATTAATCATTCAACTTACCATTTCCAGAGAGGTGCGCTGTTTCCCGTGAGTGTTTCAGGAAAACTAAGTGTATATTCACTAAATTGCACGTCGACGACGCTCTGTGGCATCGCTGAGTGCTTTCCACGTCTTGCACCGTATATTCCTTTCTTATTGCAAATCACATCATCCTTTGTTAAAATGCCGCAGTCTTCTTCGTTCAACTCATCATGTGAAAGTTTCAACGGCCGATCAGTAAAGTCATTTTCCACCGTACGCTTAACACTGTTCCGTATTTTTCTGTCGCTGTCCAATGCGTGCGCCCTAATGTTCGGCTCAAAATTTCGGTTGCCGAAGGGTTCGTTTTTATGAAACTTTTACACGTATTAACTGTGCAACACCACCTTTTGTTCCCGTCTTCATAAACTTTCTGAAAACTGAACTTATGATTGTCAATAAGGATTAAATCTTTATTGCGCTCACTTTTGATTTTTTCGAAAGCCGATGCCATGGTCACAGTTGCGGTGCGGTGCGGTCTGACATGTACTAAACTGGCCAAGTAGAACGAACACGCTTACGGCCTATTTCCAGACTTCAGGTCTGAATAAACAGGTCCAAACTGCAGGTCAGGTGCTTAGTGATTATTATCAGCGCAATGGTATCAAAGCACATCTGCTCGCACTGATGAGGAGACAAAATTAATGCGACGTTGCCGCTTCATTTTATTAAAGATCATTAGCGGGAGGGACTCGAATCCGGGAGGGAATCTCGGGAGGGAATCGGGTGCCGCCCACGCCTTGAGTCAGATTTGAAGCAATTTTACTACACTAGGTACAAAATACAAATAGTATCCCTTCTCTTGACCCACACATACGAATATTGTCATCTTCCGTCACATTTCTAAGGCGCAATGATACAACTATTTGAACTCTCCGGAATGCGTGAGGTATCACGCCGCATTTGAAGGCGTTTTCAAATCAGCCAAATTCCGATACCCGGATTATCGTTTTGCGTAGTTCATATTCTATTGTCTTATTCCGTACCACTTGTTTCTTTTTAATCCTCATAAAAAACCACCCATTTGCTAAATTCAATTCTAGGTAGAGCGCACTTCAGCTTTGCATTCACCACCTCAAAAATGTCACAGGGAATCGACAAGCCCAGCGTGCATGAAGGATTTTTCAATGGACCACTAGACAAGGTACGAATTTAAGCAATCTGATACATGTTTCTT